AGTGAATATTAATGTTATTCTTTTAAAAAAAAAAAAAAAAAAATTCGTAGTGTTACCACTTATCGGTAGAAATTCAACTGTTTTTTTTTTAATACGGTTACTTTTTTCTTTTTTTATCATGGCAGCTACACGCTAACTTCAATATTCACTTGCAATTGAGATCTTATTTTATTTTATTTATAATATTACAATCGATGTAGGTGTAAAAAAAGACAATATTAATTATTTTCAATATTATTTTGTTATGAATGGAAGAAAAGAAATCAAGTGCTGAGCTACGCTTAGCATCACATGTAATATTAACCGTTGTAATTAAAGGAAGTTAGTAATTGGTAATAATAATAGGGAAAGGTATAATTCAATGATCAGTTTGTAGAAGAGTTACCATTTTATCACACTTGGCAAAAAAATTTACCAGACTGTCACGTCAACAGTAAATTTTATCAAAATGTCACGCGGCATATTTTGCTACACTGTGTAGCGAAATATGTTTGCATATAATTCACTACACAGTGTAGCGAAATATGTCATGTAAGGATGCACAGTCAACAAAAATGACACGTGTCAAGCAGATAGAATCCAAGCATAATTCGCTACACAATGTGGCGAATTTCTGCCTGCTTGACACGTGTCATTTTTGCTGACTGTGCATCCTGACATGGCATATTTCGCTACACTGTGTAGCGAAATATGCCGCGTGGTATTTTGGCAAAATTTACTGTTGACATGGCAGTCTGGTAAATTTTTTTGCCACACGTGACAAAATGGTCACCGTTCCTCGGTTTGTGCTACAAGCCTACATACGCAAAGGGGTCCAATCGTCATAAATGGTTAGAACAAGTTCTTATTAATTATTATTGGGGATTTGGAGCAAGTAAATGGAGAGGAGGCAACTATGTGGCAATACTCCCTCATTTGAAACTTGGGAATAGATCCTTTTCTCAGGGTTGGGGATGTTATCAATGGAAGAAGAAAGATGAAGTACACACCTACACTTACACTCACGGGCAATAATTGTGGCAATTGAAGGAAGTTAATGATTAGTAGTAAAAGTAGCGGTAAGGTGTAGTTGTGTAGTTTTTTATTTGTCATAATTAAGGGTGTTCGCGGTCTGAATTGAATCGATTTTGTAAGTAAACATTATCTAATTCAATCTCTTCAGTTTGATCATGTAATTATCTATTCGGTTTGAATTTTTTTTTCAAATTCTATCAAAATTCAATTCAATTTTATTCAATTTGAATTAAATTGGTTTTTGATTTTTTGAAAAGCTTAAAATTTGTATGATAATTTCTGTGCAAATAACATATTTTTTTTGTATGTATTGGCTTTGTAAAGTTTGTATGAACGATAATCTAATTTTCAATATAATACAACAAAAAGTTGAAATACCATCTTTTACCTCCAACAAAACATTTATAATGTGGATGCCTGAGATACGCAGTAATCCAAAAATTTATCCTATAGAGGAGTTGTTGTACAACACTAACCCATGCAAAAAATATATATGATGTATCTTACAAAAAAGAAGAAACATAACATGGATCAAACACAACCCTCTTTTTCCAACATGATGAATTAATGGGTTTTGGGTTTAGAATTTTGCAATATGATTTTTGGGCTATGATTGAGGAAAGACCCGCGTAGATAGAGGGTAAGGTTAAAGAATCATTGGATCGATTTGGATTGGATTGATTTTCACTAACCAAAACGAAAACCCTTTTAATGTTAAAATTTTGAGTATCTATCGTGTTTCAGTTATGAATAGATCAAATTAAATTAAAGTATATCCCCTCAAAATTTATATATATTTTTTCATTTAGCAATTTTTTTTTTTAGAATTTCGACCATATATTGTATTTCAGTTATGAATAGACCAAATTAAATTGAAGTATATCCCCTCACAATTTTATTTATATAATTTTAACTTCTTAATATTATAATTTTAAATATTTATTGTGTTTCAGTTATGAATTGACCAAATTAAATAGAAATATATCTTCAATTTAATTTGGTCAATTCATAACTGGAAAGCAATAAATATTTTAAATTATAATACTAAAATTGAAGTATATCTCCTATATATATATATATATATATATATGGGATAAACATTTCTATAACCACTCTAGTAAGATAAGGTTATCTACAACTACTATTTATAACTCTGTTCTCCCTGGAAAACATAGTTATAACATTAAAGTTGCTTTTTTTTCTCCCCTCAGTTACTTTTCAGAACTTATTTGCTGATGTGGAGAGAGAGAGAAAAAAGCAACTTTAATGTTATAATTATGTTCTCACGGGAGAATATAATATAAAAATGATAGCTGTAGATAACCTTATCTAAAGTGGCTGTAGAAATATTTTTTCCTATATATATATATATATATATATATATTTTATCGTTTCTCAAGCTGCTTGAGATAACTTTATCTCCGGCTACTAAATAATAACCGTACAAAGATAGATCAATGATGACAAAGGAAGAGAGAGAAAAAAGGAATCATAACCATTCAAAGGTAAATTAATTAATATAAGAAAATAAATAAATAAAACAACGTAATTTTGGAGTGGCCAGAGATAAACTTATGTCAAGTTGTCGGGGAAATATTTTCTCTCTCTCTATATATATATATATATATATATATATATATATATATATATATGAGTTCATTTTTTTTGGAGTGAACATATATAAGTTATCTGCATTGAGTCTAAAACGACGTCGTTTTAAGGCAGAAATCAAGATATTTTTGTAATTATAATTTATTTCAAGGTTATAATAATCTTTATCATTATAATTTTTTAATCTTAACACAAAACGACGTCGTTTTGGCAGTGAATATAAATAACTTATCTGCATTCACTGTAGAAACATTAAAACCTATATATATATATATATATATATATATATATATATGGGCAGGATATTCTTACACTAGCGTAAGAGTTAGAAGTCTTACACTCAATCTTGACTATTGATCCACTTGTATCCAATGGCTCAAATTACTAAAAAATTAGAGCCCTTAGATATAAGTGAGATCAATGGACAAGATTAAAAGTGTAACTTACACTGGTGTAAAATGATCCTGACATTATACATATATATATGGTAAAATCATTTCTGGAGCCGCTTTACGTACAACAACGACATGTGTATGGTTATGATTCCCTACATTTAATGCTTTCATCTTTTGTATGATTATGATTCCCTGTATTTAATGCTGTCACGTATATATAGGGCAAGTATATGATTGCTGCACGTATAGCAGCTGCAGAAATGTAAACCCTATATATATATAGAGAGATGTAGGATCCTTTGACACCATCTTATAGCCGTTAGATCAAAAAAGATCAACGACTCTGATTTGTAAGCATATGACTCCATTGATCTTTTTTGATCTAACGGCTCTCATATAAGGTGTCAAATTTCAAATTTGACACTACAGGATCCTACCTCTATATATATATAGGGGTAAACATTTCTGGAGCCACTTTAGATAAGCTTATCTACAACTATCCTTTATACTATGTTATCCTGGGAGAATTTATATATAACATTAAAAGTTGTTTTTTTTATCTCTCCTCATTTACTTTTCAGAACCTGTCTGCTGACGTGGAGAGAGAAAAAAAGCAACTTTAATGTTATAACTATGTTCTTCCGGCAGAACATAGTTATAAATGGGTAGCTGTAGATAAGCTTATCTAAAGTGGCTGTAGAAATACTTTTTTCCTATATATATATATATATATATATATATATATATATATATATATATATATATATACATATATATATAGGCAGGATCCTTTGACACCGGTGTCATTTTTTAAAATTTGACACCAAATCTTAACTGTTGATTTCCGTCAATCAACGGTTATCATTTATTGGGAATTACACTTATTAATTAATCATTAATTGCCAATAAATGATAACCGTTGATTGGTGGAAATCAACGCTTAGGATTTGGTGTCAAATTTCAAAATTTGACACCGGTGTCAATGAATCCTATCCCATATATATATATATATATATATATATATATATATATATATATATATATATATATATATCGGGACAGGATCCTTGGATACCAGTGTCAAACTTTGAAATTTGACACTAAATTCTAACCGTTAATTTAAAATTATTTTTTAAATCTAGAATTTGAAACATGTTTCAGTTATAAATCGACCAAATTAAATTGAAGTACATCCTCCCAAAGTCTATGCTTTTTTTCTTTCTCTTTTTGACTTTAGCCATTGTTTTCTCTTTTTGACTTTAGCCATTGTTTTAATGCTAACATTTTGTGTATTTATTGTTTTTCAGTTATGAATAGACCAAATTAAATTATAATGTATTTAAAATTATTTTTTTAATATTTAAAAAGTGATAAGAAGGGGAGGGGGAAAGTAAAACTTTTATAATAATAGTTGAAAAAAAATTTAAAAAAAAATAAATAACAAGAAAGTGGGCCCCAACAGCGGTTTTTGAGCAAGAGGTGGGCATGGTTTCGCGCAAATATACTGGAAGCGGTGGGGGAAGAAAACATCGAACCTCCTCATTAAATAAAAGCTTTAAAATAATATCCTTAGGGTACAAGTATTTCATCGGTTTTTAAAAAAAAAATATATTTTATGCAATATTTTATATTTTAATTTAAGACATATGTTTTTTTATATTATTAAATGCATTGTATATAAGATATCTTACTTATATCGTTTTCGATCATATTTAGAATTTTATCGTGCAGAAGCAGAAGCATCCATCAACGTCGTGTGTACATGTGCGTGCTTCTTTAGAAATAAAGTGTTTCCGTTCTCTTCCCATCCCATGAAAGATTGAAGAGAGAGAGAGAGAGAGAGAGACAGTGTTCCAATGGCATTCCAAACTGCCAACACTTCCTAATTCCCATTTCTCAGATTGATTTCTCATAACTCTAACTCCTTCTCCTCGGAATATCCATTTCAGGTGACCGGAAAATCCCATCACCCTCGCCAATATGGGAAGCGTTAACCTCTCCGTCAACAGCGTCGTCAATGCTGCCGCCTCCGCCATCGTCAACGCTGAACCCAGACTCGACGAACCTGACACCGAGCCGGTCCCTCTCTCTCTCTCTCTATATATATCTCTTTCTCTTATTATTTCTATTACATTTGCGTGTGATGTGTTGTATGCAGTTATGTTTGTGTGTATGTGCATGTTGTATTGTTGTTGCTTCGGTTTGGTTTGGTTTGGTTTTGCTTTTCAATATTCTGCTTTGTTACCGAGAAACAGCGTGTTGAGATCTTGGGCTTTGTGTTATCTGTTTTATCTTTTTCACTTTTCATTGTGATGGATGGAGGTCTAGTCTTTATTGACCTTGTGGCGTCGTCGAAATTTTCAATCGTTTTTTATTATTATTTATTTAATTACACACTGTTCATTTGCCTTTTTTACCAATTTAATTAATTGTTATGAATTCTTGTAATTTTGATTTCACTTTGAAGCTGTTTCTTTTGCAACTCGGTTCTTCAATGTGTTTGAGGAGAACTTCAATCTGTTTCGGGACATGTATCTTACATATATAATTGTAACTCCGTTCAGTTCCTATATTGCAAATCAAATACTGGGATTTGCAACTTTGCAAGTAACCTTCAATTTTCTATGTTTTCTACATTTTGTGTAGTGTCAGTGTGTACTGTGATTTGATTCCTGGACCTTTTAATCTGCAGCTTCGTATAGCCTTGCCTTTTTTGATGATTTTGGATTTAATGGAGGGTTTGTGTCCTGACAATGACATTGTTCTCAGGCAGATTTAAAGATCCTTGTCAATAGTTATTACTCAATAAGCTTTGTTCAGCCTTTAGGGCCGGGGTTTCTGGTAGTTCTCTGAAACTTACGTTTGGAAAACTAATGGGGGGAGGTGAATTGGGTTAATGTTTGAAATTGGCATTGCAGAATGGGGTGGATTTTAATAAAGAATGTGTTTTCAGTTTCATTGGCTGATGCGGGGATGTTCTTTTTATTCAAGGCTTCAATCCATGCTTTTCTTGGTGCTATTTATTCCTTTTTAATTCTAATGTCCGCTGCTGTTGTTACTCTATAGCAACCATTTTATCTGCTATCAAAGAGAAAGAAGGGAAAGCGGGGAGCTTGTAGAGAGAAATTAGAAAGAGAATCATTCAAGGAGACACCGGTTACAGCTGCGTCATAACAATCCTGGTCCTTATCTATGAGTACAAAGGAGTCGTGAAATGCAGCGTGGCCATTCAAAGCCATTGAATCCTAATTTGAGTTTTTGTTGCGTCTCATAAGTAGTTGATCAATGCCTAGGGCTTTGCATGCCCTTGAATGAGCATGTAATTTCCATTGGTTCTTCGTGACCGTGGAATTAGAGACAGTCTTATCCGAAAATCTGGATTGGCCGTTGAACGCGCGCAAGATGTCTATAGTGTGAGGAGTCGTTAAATTGTAGGGTAATCGCATTCATTTGGAAAAGAAAGACAGAAATTACGAAGAGAATCAAGGGAGAAGAAGATCAAAGAGGAGAGGGAAATTAGATTTGGAATAGGGGAGAGAGAATCTTGTAAATTCTTCTTGTGCCCTTCATTTACTGTTTTCCTATTTATAACAAAGTTTGTTGCAACATAATCCTAGTCGATAAAACAAAATCGTAAATAACAATAACAAAAGAAGAAAGGCATTGAAAATATGATTAGGGCTTCAGAGGTGTGAGGCTGCCTTCTGCATAATAGGCCATTCTGTGTTGCTAGGTACTCCATATACAGTCAAAAAGTTAGTTTACACGTTTGGGTTTGGGATGCTTATAGATCCTTTATTTACAGATGTATATGCGTAGTATATATTATTTATTATATTTGATGTTATTAGTTAATATATCATATGCTTGACAGACATAGGGAAACAGAAATCTTTATACGGCTTTCCTTACAATGCTTATGCTGATAACACTAGGCTCTAGTGGCATCCAGTTAGGTACAATAGCTACTTGTAGAAGGTGACAATGTAAGTTTTAGACCCCTCCAGTGTATGTGTTTTGATTAGTTTCGGAGAACTTAATGTTCTTCTAATTAATGTTCCTTTTGTGGGCAATATCTTCTTTTTTGGCTAAAATACGTTTCTAATTGATTGGAATCATTTCACTTAGAATCTACCTTTAATGAGAGGATCATTTAACTTGGAATGAAATAAGTTTTCAAATTTGATGTTAAACAAAAAAAAAAAACATTCAATACTAGCTGACAGATGAATTTGTGTTTTGATTCGGTTTCCACTTTTAATTCAGATATATTTGTTCATTAACTGCAGAAAAAACGCTGGGGAAGCTGCTGGAGGTTTTATTGGTGTTTTGGATCTCATAAAAGCAGCAAGAGAATTGGCCATGCTGTGCTTGTTCCTGAACCTGTTGAACCAACTGGCCCAGCTGCTAATACTGGATCAAATCCTTCAACTGCCATTGTACTGCCATTTGTTGCCCCTCCCTCATCACCTGCATCTTTTGTCCCATCTGATCCTCCATCTGCTACTCAATCACCGTCTGGATTACTTTCTCCCTCTTCCCTCGCTGTCGACGATTACTCTTCTGGTGGACCTGCATCCATTTTTGCCATAGGTCCTTATGCCTATGAGACTCAGTTAGTCACACCACCTACATTTTCTAACGTCACAAGTGAACCATCTACTGCTTCTTTTACTCCACCTGCTGAAAGTGTGCAACTGACATCACCATCATCCCCTGAGGGGCCATTTGCTGAATTTTTGACATTTAATTATGATTTTCAGCATTATCAACAATATCCTGGAAACGCTGGTTGCCTACTCATATCACCCGGTGGATCAGTCATTTCCGCTTCTAGCGGCTGTACCCCTTTCCCTGATAGACACCCAATTCTTGAATTTTCCAAAGGGGAAGCACCAAAGCACTTGGGCATTGATCACTTCTCAACTCCTAAAGGGAGTTCAAGGCTTGGATCTGGATCTTTGACACCAGATAGTGCTGGGCAAGGTTCAAGACTAGGCTCAGGATCTCAGACACCTGATGCTGTTGGGCTAGCTTCACAACTAGTCTCTGGATGTTTGACACCTGATGGTGAAAGGCCAGCAGCTACAGATGGCATCTATGTTGGAAAACGGATTTCTGAGGTAGCATCCCGTGCAAATTCAGAGAATGGGTGTCAAACTAATGCAACATTAGTCGACCGCAGAGTTTCATTTGAATTTACCGTGGAAGATGTTGCACGATGTCTTGCAAATAAGCCATGGCCATTGTTTCAAAACATGCCAGAGTCTTCAGAAGTTACACAGGTTGAAGACCGTGTTGACAACGAAAGGATACAAAAAGACTCCAATAGTTGTGGTGATTTGTGTTCAATGAAAACTTCGAATGATAAGCCTGACAATGCTCCTGGAGAAGGAGAAGGAGAGGAGCAGTGCTATCAGAAGCATCAATCTTCTAATTCTTCCAAAGAATTCAATTTTGACAACACAAAAGGTGATGTTTCTAATAATCCTGCCAATGGCTCCCAGTTGGGGACCAACAAGAAGGTTGTTGAAAAGGAAGGAAGTACAAGCAACAGTTGGGCTTTCTTCCCAACGCTACAGCCAGAAAACAGTTAAGGATTTAGTTCCTAGCAGTATGACACAGTTGAGACAGCGGTTGTCATAGTCGCTTAGGATCCAAAGTAGAATACAAGGAGAGCATAGTTGGTAGGGACAAGTAGACTGGATTGTAAATTCTGATAGAGCAGTACTTTCGTTGCAAGTATACAGAAATCGCAAGGTATAGGTGTTGGTATAGTAGATTATTATGTAATTTCAAATGCAATAATGAATAAGCTTTTTTCTTTTTTTGCACTTTGGTCATGCAAAGCCTGCATTTTTTATGGAGGCCCTAGTTGCATTGGTGGGGTTCTTATGAAAATACAGATGGAGTTTTATTTTTTATAAAAGAAAAAGACAAGGAAAAAGAAAAATACAATCTGTCACTATATGCCACTAGCTGATGCATGGCAAATAGTTGCACTGGTAGAGTTTCTAATGAAAACACAGTTGGTTGTTGGGTTCCCACGTACAGCTTTGTGTCTGGATATTTGTAACCTTTAATTAATGCTGGGATGGAATGTGGAAGCTAGACTTAACACAATCTGCTACCCTTCTTCCCCCAAAAAATTAAGAAAAGACCATCTGGTGCATCTGTATCTGCCACTAACTGATGCATGGTCATTATGGTAAAATATGATGCTGAAAGGCTGCAATGCTGTTGTTTGGCTTCTCATTTGGTGGTTAGTTCAAATTGGTTTATCTTTTCAATCAAAATAAAAAGTAAAATGAAAAAGTTATTTTATCAGATGAAGGGGATTGTCTTGTCGTCTCTGTTGGTCCACCAATAAGTTCTCATTATTCTCTAAATTTGGTTTTCTCTTGGTCCACCGTTGGACCTTTTTACATGTTTAATTTTTCTTTTTATTCTCTAAAATAATACCCCCTTTTTACATGTTTAATTTTTCTTTTTATTCTCTAAAATAATACCCCAAACATTATTTCTCAAAATAAGTCACTTCATTTATCATTATTTCCAGTAATCGAATTCCCAATGACTATTTTTTTTGTAAAAAAAAAAAAAACCATTTTCTGGTTAACTTTCTCTTTATAAAAGTTGGAATGTTGATTTTTAGAAATCGACATCCTAACAAAAGGTAAATGGCTGTAAAAAATTGAAATAGAACTAAGTCAGGTTGATTAAGTCAATAACTCTCGTAAGCAAGTATGTCAGTTTGTCTCAACCCTTTCTCATTTCTTTTGGGTGGTATGTTGAATATCTGCCAATCTCTAATTATTCATGGTTGGTAAATAGAATAAGCATACAAAGTAACAAAACATAAAAAATATGGGTTGCATATAGATTTAACCTCTATCTGTTTGAAGTTTAGATTTTACATCATTTTGTGAACTACTTTTTTAGTTGAAAACCTGCTATACTTCTGTGATATATAGAGCTAAAATCTGTCTTTATTATGTGAAAATGACATGTTGCAAATGTGTCCATATTTGGACGCATATATTCGTCGTTTTGACATAGTGCGCATTAAAACATCTAATGCTTCCTTGAAGTAGTTTTCCACGTCAATCTTCTATGCTATCTATCACTTCTAAATTAATAAAGAGAAATCTAATTAAATATTAAGATCAATCCATCATGAATCTCATTATAAATCGCCGCCCTATGTCTCTAAACACAGTGTCCACTAATTAAACAAAATGTGTTTAATCCGACCAATGTTGTCTGAAGAAACTTAAAAATGTTATCTTGAAAGCATTTTGTAAACAAAGTACTTATTTTTATTTCTTTCTTTTTGGAATTCTAAAGTAATAACAATCTGGGTTTGGTCAAAGTAATATAATTCTGAAGTAATTATTGAAGCCCAAGATTATTAAATTAACATACTGGATCTCAAAGAATCATTTAGTGGCTAATAATTTGAAGAGCAACAAGAAAACAAAAACAAGAACAACATTTTATTATTTCTCAGAATTCTGCTAGGGAAGCTAATAGGTAATGATGATGGTGGCCTTTTATGGCATTTACCCTCCAAGGGTGGATATAATAGAAGGACACGTTTCACTGTGACGTGCCTCCAAAAGTGTGGGGTTGCTCCAATTCTCTTACTCTCCTTTTTTTTCTGACTTGACTAAAATATTCTTCAAAAATCCAAACCATAGCTAGCAAGGAACTCTTTCAAGAAAAATAAAAACCAAGTTGCTAGCTTTTCATGCAGATGACACAAAGCCTATCCGGGAATATTACATGTTAGCCACAGCCAAATTGATGTGAGCTTCCAAGTTAGGCCTCAGTTCATCAAAACTTTTATTTTATAGGTAAGATGTATGGTACCCGTTTGTGTTGTTTTTCAATGTCTTAGCCGATATAACTTGCATGATATCTTATTGAAATTGAAAATGTTGAGATGTATGTTCTTTTAAGTTAATTTAGCTGAATTAGTTGATTAAATATACTCTATTATCCACCAGACCAGCAAGTTTCTTTCCTAGGTTTTCTTGGTCCTTTTGATTCATATCTAGGATTTCGCTTAAATGACCAAAGACTTGCATTTTCTGAAGAATGGTGTCTCAAAAGTTGAATTTTCAACATTCTTACTTTCCAATTGACATTTCAATGACAGGGAATTTTGCTTAAGGAGTAATTGAGTTACTGTTGTATTATTGTTGATAGCCTAGAGCTGGAGGTTTTAATCTTTGGTTGGAACAAGTTGTTTAGCCACAATAATGGCACTGGCTTCTCTTCAAAAAGTCATCTTTGGTTCAATTGCATTTGCAATCTTCTGGGTATTGGCAGTTTTCCCAGCTGTTCCTTTTCTCCCCATTGGGAGAACTGCAGGGTCCTTGCTAGGTGCCATGCTTATGGTTCTATTCCGAGTTATTAGTCCAGATGAAGCTTATGCCACAATAGATCTCCCAATTCTTGGTCTTCTTTTTGGGACAATGGTTGTTAGTGTTTATCTTGAAAGTGCAGACATGTTTAAGTACTTAGGGAAGTTGCTCTCTTGGAAAAGTAGAGGAGCAAAGGACTTACTTTGTCGAATCTGTCTTATTTCTGCTGTATCAAGTGCTCTTTTCACAAATGACACCTCATGTGTTGTTTTGACAGAGTTCATATTGAAAATTGCAAGGCAGCATAATATCCCTCCAACCCCTTTCTTACTTGCCCTTGCTTCAAGTGCTAATATTGGATCCTCAGCTACTCCAATTGGCAACCCCCAAAACCTTGTTATAGCTGTTCAGAGTAAAATATCATTTGGAAATTTCTTGATTGGTATTCTTCCAGCTATGCTAGCAGGAGTTGTTGTGAATGCTTTGATTCTTCTAACCATGTATTGGAAGTTATTATCTGTTCATAAGGATGAAGAAGATGCAGTTTCAGATGTTGTAACAGAAGAGGAGGTTAATTCCCATCGGTTTTCTCCAGCCACAATGTCTCATTTTACATCCTTAAATTCTCAAGAATGGAATTCCCATCTTGAATCTATTAATATTCAGAACTTTCCTCCAGTTCAGACTCTAAGAATCCGAGAAAGTGCAAGTACAATTGAAAGTGAAATTCACGTGGTTCCTAGCAACACAATTGATTCTGCAAGAAATTCAAATGTGTCAAAGGAGGGGATAAATGGTGTGCCATCTCTGCCATGGCAAGAAACTAGCCCTTCAAATTCTTCAGCAGCAAGAGATACACATTCTGAGCACTCTTCAGAAACGAAAAAAAATTCAATCATAAAATGGAAAAGGGTGCTGTGGAAATGCTGTGTTTATGCCATCACATTAGGAATGTTGGTAGCTTTGCTTCTAGGTTTAAATATGTCATGGACTGCAATTACTGCTGCACTTGCTCTGGTGGTTCTAGATTTCAAAGATGCTAGACCATGCTTAGAGAAGGTAAAACCTATTAACATCATCCCTCTCTTTACATCTCTCTTCTCCTTGAAATACTAGTTATACTTCTGCTGCCTCTTGAATATAGTACAACCTCTCAGAATGGTTTTCTACTCTTGTAACAGGTTTCATATTCACTTTTGATATTCTTCTGTGGAATGTTTATCACGGTAGAAGGCCTCAATAAAACTGGAATTCCAAGTGCTCTGTGGGACCTGATGGAGCCCTATTCCCAAGTAAATCATGCTAGTGGAGTTGCAATACTTGCAATTGTCATAATTGTCCTGTCAAATGTGGCTTCAAATGTTCCAACAGGTTAGTGGATTGATTCTACTGCCAATGTAATTCACTATCTGTTCATTGAGTTGAGTCTTAAAAAGTTCTTGATTGCAAATTGTAAAACAATCAGAGCAAGGAAGGAACTAGTAAAATATAATATAAAATGACATATAATTAATGCACACGGTGATATAATAGACAAGAGGCAAAACTCTTAAATTCTCCTTAGACTCACACCTTATAAATAAGTTCAGGCTTCTTACCTTTAAAATAAAAAGATAATGAAAGATATATTTCTCAAATTTGGAATTGTTGAGATATATAAAACCATTAATGTAGCTTCACCCAAAAGCTTAAGCTTTTGGGTTGAACTGGTTCTTTACATGATATCAGAGCCTTGGTGTATCGGGTTCGAACCTCATCGCTCCCACTTTCTTTCTAGTGGAATTTCTTTCTTCGCACAGGTAGGTGGACCTGTGCATTGTCCACTCTTCAAGACCAGTGGGCTCTCGTGTGAGGGGGCGTGTTGAGATATATAAAATCATTAATGTAGCCTCACTTAACAGCTTAAGCTTTTGGGTTGAATTGGTTTTTTCCAGACATAATTAGCTTTCTTATAGAAAGTTACTAAGTGCGGTCTTGTGGATAACCTTGATACTTTTTTTTGAATACTGGATAACCTTGATTCTAATTTTTCTGAAAGTGCTCATTTTGGATAGTCAATGTTTGACTGCAGTTTATCTATATTGTGGTTGCATACACCAAAGAACTATGTTGAGATTACATGTTTCCTAAAGCTGTCACTCATTGTGCACAAAAGATAATCTATTGAGCGCCATTAAATAATAGTAATTACATTGTAAATGTGTACAACATAATAAGATCTACATAAATTTTTTCTAAATAGATCTTTTTTGCACTTTCATTCTTTGAAAAATGAATATATCTGCAAAAGGTATACGAGTTAAATCTATTGGACTCTGGTTGAAATTTAACTAATTCATTAAATTTAGTCATGGAGATTTTATCTTCATTTGTATTCATGTCAAAACTTTCTATACTTAACTTATATCCATCTTTATAGCAGAAAATTGACGTTAAGATACATGACTAATGTTGTGTTTTATGTTACCTAGTTCTCTTGCTGGGAGCACGTGTAGCAGCCTCAGCTGCAGCAATTTCCAAAGCAGATGAGAAGAAGGCATGGCTGATATTGGCTTGGGTGAGCACCGTAGCAGGGAATCTCTCATTATTGGGATCAGCTGCTAACTTGATAGTGTGTGAACAAGCTCGACGAGCTCCTTACCTACCATACACATTAAGCTTCTGGAGTCATCTCAAATTTGGCCTTCCTTCCACTCTTGTAGTTACTGCTGTTGGTTTGGCACTCATAAGATGATAATGACTTTTTACTCAGAAGTGTCTTCTTGTAGAAATTTGCACAAAAGTAAAAGAAAAATTGAAAAATCAGTGTTTATGTCTGAACTGTAGGTGGTACTAGAGAACCAGGTATCTATGTATCCCTTGAAGGGTGAAGTATATCACTTTAAGGGTATCCTTAAGCAGCAATGGTATGAACTAAAGCTCTACAGGAGTTTCCTAGGTGCTGTATCAAAAGGGGAGGGGAGGTTATAGTGGCTCTCTATATTAAGAGCATAACAGTTCATGCAATGAGTGAATAGTGTGTGTTCATTGATGGTGAAGGGAATATTTATAGGTAGGGTTGAACTCCTCATGTGTATGTGTGTGAGAGGGAGCCAAGTCAACAGAGGCTAGCCTGAGCCACTATAACCTGACCTTGTTGGGGCAAGACATATGCAATAAGGGTAAAGAATTTTTTCAGGAGATAAATTATTTTCGGTAAGCGTAAAATAACGTCATTTTTGTAATTTTAATATATTATAGAGTAATATTAATCTTTATTATTTTAATTTTTTTTTAATTTTATAACTTAAAAATGACGTCATTACTGAAAATAACTTTATTTTGAATAACTGAAGTCTTTCAGCCATTGTATGACTGCTGTGTCAGGGGAAAAAGTGAGGGGGGACGTTCCAAAATAAGACATTGTGTGTCTTATATTGGAGTATCTTATATCAGTACTGATATGGCAACACTGGAATAGCAGTAGTAATATGGACCGAAGCCGGAACAATGTCAATATATTTTAAACGAATGATTATATAAGTAAAAAGAATGAATATAGATGTTCTTTATTGTTGATCATTTATGTCAAATAAAATATGCGCAGATGTTTATGTTAGTTGCCAAGTGATGCTTTAAAATTTAGTAATCTGACATTGTGTGATTGTGATATTGTCATGAATCATGGCCTCCTTAGACCTGTTTGCTTCAAGATTACAATTTGTAAGTTAGCAGTAAAATATGAATAAACTGAGGTCATCAAGATTCAAGTCATTCGTGTTTTTTTATTTATTTAATTTCTTTACTGGTTTAACGATTAATTGATTAATTCAATTTGACAACCGGTTAAGTTGAAATAATCTCTACTTGTTAATCCACGTATTTGGTGGTGTTGTGGGCAGAAAACTATCAATAACTTACTCATTATAAGAAAGGAACACTAAATTAAGGAAGGAAGATGGGTAAAAGTTAAGATTTGATCAGCATAATTGCATTTATTTGCAAATAATTTTATTGGCTAAGTTCGCTAATACCGAGTGATTAATCACACACGAGTGATTAATATAGAAAATCAAAGTTCTTAAGTTAATTTTATAAAATAAATGGGATAGGTTATTCTGCCTACACTTATTTTGCTTACCTCTTTCAACATCGTTAGATTACAATCTCATCCAACGGTGGAGATTTGTAGAATAAAATAAATCATTTTTCCCTTTCTTTCTCTTCACTGTCTCTCACCTCCTTTTTTTCTCTATCGATTTTCGTAATTTACAACCTAAAGTCATATTTGAATCTAAATTCATGCAATGATTAATGGCATGATAATTTCGCTGGATGAGTATAATTTTCAAATTTTCTTAAATCTCATATAATTGAACATCAGAAACCACAAAATTACAAAAAAAAAATGAAAAACACGAATAACCCTTCATTTTAATTGTAAAGTTTCTACTTTGGTGTTGATATTTGAAACGAATCAACTTATCTCCTTCTTCTTATCTTGTTTTTCACCTTGAAGTGTGGAAATGATATCTGTTCTCTCTATGTTACGGCCAGATATAGATCTACCTGGTTCCATCAGGGCATCTGGGTTTATTTCTTCTTGACACCCCCATTTCAATTTTTTATATAAATGCTCATAACAATGATTAGGATGGATGAATTGAGAAAAGAGTTTGCACATTTTTTTGATGTTGATGCGCCATTGAAGAAAGAGTAAAGGGAGGAGAGAAAGAGTGAGAGGCGGTGGGAGAGAGAAAGAGTAAAAAAGTTTATTCTATATTATAAATCTCCACCGTTAGATGAGATTGTAATATAACGATATTGATATTGAAAAGGGTAGACAAAAGTAGGCAAAGTAAGAGTATGCAGAATAACCTATCCTAGAATAAATATGTTCAAATCTTATGTCATATTTACTTGTCTAATTAAATATCATTAATGGAGAAAAAACCAATTAATCTAAAAGAATATAAATTTAAAATTTAATTGGAAAGAAGTTAAGGATAACATGTGCTATAAGTTAAGAGAGAATAGATTAACAGATAGTTTTTGCTAATATTTGAGAAATAAATATTTTTTTTATTATTACATTAAATATGACATATTAAGTTTAGATTTAGAGTAAAGCTTCTTTTGTGTTCGTAAAAAAAAATAAAACACGGTCCCACTTTCATCTCTTACGAAAAAAATCATATTAGTTTTTCTTTTAGAATTAAATTGGGTCTTCATTAAATTCCTGAGAGACTATATTTTCAAAGAACTGAAATTACAGAAGAATCAAAAATTAATTTTTTTTTTATAAAAGACGAAAGTGAAAATCATCTTCTTCTTCTTTATTAGGAATCCAAATGAGAATTTAATCTTACTTTCATGGGATACACACCATCCATAACATGGTTCTAGAATTTTAAAGGAGGGGAATAGACACGTGCATTGCATGACCAAAACATGATAAGGAGGAAAATGTAGGGCCATGGCACGTGCAATGATGCCTTTGGACCCCACTGAACGGCCCAAATACATCTCCCCCTGTTTCTTTCGCATTTGCAACTTATATAGATAATTAGAATTACAATACTAAATATTCTATTTTTCCTGCCAATGCCATCCTAAAATTGCTCTACCCATTCCGATTCTGATATATTCGATCCTTCTTGTATATTGCTTTCCCTTTTTGCATTCTTTTTTTTTTTTTTTCCTCGTCAAATATTAAGTAGAGCTTGAGCTTCACATCCAAAACAAAGTTTTAAATATATATAATGTTTAAAACCAATCATTGTGATATGTGGATTAATTAAAATAGAAGATATCAACTTTCATCACTAAAAAAATAATGTCTTATATTAAAATTTGATCATTGATCTACTTATATTTAATGATTTAAATTTATTAATCTCGTGAGTGTTAGATAAACTATAGTTTAAAATTATTATGTTAATTAAAATATAATATTTTCTATTGAATTGTTATTTATCACAATCTCATTTTGGAGTCCAGTCATTTCATCTTTCATTAAGGCCAGTTGAAACTTTCTATCCAAATTCGAGGGTAATTATACGTGATTTTCTTTTGAATTACGAGACTTCATAAAAAATTATTACGTGTATCAATTAAAAATGTGAGAATAGGAAGGCAACGTCTGGTTGGACTCTTACTCTTATAAGGGAATAATAAAATATGTTTTGAACCCTAAAATACATTTTTTTTTTCTGGTGTAGAGTGAGTATGTTAACAGTAAATTATTTTTATATGGTAAGCGAGAATCACTACGATACCTGTTCCAATTACCTATCATTTTTTCTGGTTACCTTTGTCTATTATTTTTTAACATTATTGGATCAAAATCTCAATAGGAGAGAAAAATATTGAGATTCTGATCCAATGGTATTGGAGAGTGATAGACAAATATAGGCAAAAAAATAGTAAATAAAATAATCTATCCCAACTTGTAAACGTAATGATAATATTAAGGTTTTAATTGTTTACGAGATAGATTATTCTACTTATTCTTATTTTTGCCTACCTTTGTCTACCTCTCTCAACACCGTTAGATTACAATCTCATCCAACGGTGGAGATTTGCAGAATAAAATAAATTCTTTTTTTTTCTTTCTCCTCAGTGCATCTCACACTTTTTTCTCTCTCCTCCCCTTTCTCTCTATTGATTGTGTAATTTACAACTTGAATTTATATTAGAATCTAAATCCATGCAGTGATTAATGACATGATGGTTTTGCTAGATGAGTATAGTTTTCAAAATTTCTTAAATTTGATATACTTGAACACGGCAGAAATCACAAAAATTTGAATCTAAATCCTTGAATTTGATATATTTCAAAATACACGATTACCACAACGTTTCTATTTCGCTATTAAAATTTGAAATCGAATCAACTTATCTCCTTCTTCTTATTTTGTTTTTCATCTTGAGGTGGGAAAATGATATATGTTCTTTCTATGTTACGCCCAACAATAGATCTACCTAGTTCCATAACATAGGGCATATGGCTTTGTTTCTTCTTAACACCCCATTTCAATTTTTTATGTAAATGCTCATAACAATGGCTGGGTTGAATGAATTGAGAAAAAAACTTGCACTTTTTTTTATGCTAAAGCGCCATTGAAGAGAGAGAAAAGGGAGGAGAGAGAAAGAGTGAGAGGCAACAGAGAGATAACAGTAAAAGAGTTTATTTTATATTGTAAATCTCCATCGTTGGATGAGATTGTAATCAAACGGTATTGAAAGGATAGGCAAAGATAGATAAAATAAGAGTAGATATAATAACCTATCAGATTGTTTACTAAATGAATTATTAGGCTGTTTCTGTTTCCTATGCAAATCTTTACACACGCATATATTTATTTCTTCAAAAGGAATCATAATTACACAATTTTCTTTAAACCAGACATGTCAATGAAAACTTGTTAAAAATAAACAAAAGATCAAATTATGTTAATGTAAGATTAAGGATTGCAATTTTAAGCCAGGATGATTCTTATGATTTTCAGTTGTAAATAGAAACTTATTTTAGTTGAGAAAAATGTAAGAAATGAGAGTAATTTATTCTATATGGGTTTTTGCTCGTGTTTCCGAAGATGTGTTCTATACGATACGAGTTAGCAGCTAGGATATATTAAAACTATAATAAATCCAGATTAATCTCTCATTAATAATTTATAATAACTTAATAACACATAAAAAAAATACTAATTATAATTTGATTGATATGTATCATAAGTGTAAAACAATTTATGCTACTATTAAGCATGTGGATCAACTTACAGTGTTCATTAGTTTGTATTAATTTATAAACGAGGTTTAAATTTGGTGTGGAGAAGTATTAGTTAAAGTGTAATTAAATAATTTGGGGCAAACCAATATGAAAGTCAATAAATGTTAAAAAAAATAAATCTATTTTTGTCACAATAATTGATTATGATTTTAAAATGATTAATGTTGTTGATTTTATTATTAAGTGTATGAATTGACATTTTTTTTTTTTGATAACAATGAATTGACATTTTGTATATGTCAATTTCTTAATTACTGTGAATATAAAAACAAAATAATATTTCTACAGTTACTAATGCAGATAAGTTATCTGTATTTACTTCTAAAACGATATCGTTTTGGGATTGAAAAACTAAATAATTAAATTATAAAGACTATAATAATCATGAAACAAGTTAAAATTACAAAAACAACATGATTTTCGTCCGAAAATGAAGTCGTATTAGGCTTAATGCAGAAAAAGCGAACCCATATAAAAAATAAATAATAATATAAAGTACTTGAAGTGAATTAAATGTAATAACCGAGTAAATTTATTTTTTTATGATTTTATATTTTAATATTAATTTTTAGGGTTTAAAGTTTTACATGTATGTGGTAGAGATAAAATGTGCACGGTCTAGTTTATTTATTTCTCTTTTTTCTGCTCACAAGATCTCATATATTTTTATGTATGTGTGAAAAATAATTTTAAACTTCAAATCCTTATTTTTAAGGGAAAAACATTTTTCATCAATACCTATTAATTTGGAGTTTGATGTTTCTCATATCGTCGACACACTTATCAAAGTCTATGAGAGCATGTTTGGTGTATAATATAGGATAAGGCCTGATAGTATAAGATCTGATTGAATTTTAATACTATCCAACGTTTGGCACGATATTGTATAAGATAATATATTTATAAGATAATATCATCTAGTATTTGGTAATGCCCGTATAATACTATATATGATAAAAATATATTTTAATAAAGAATTTATATAATTCTTCAGAAAATGTTATACGATATTAATTTTTATAAAAATTTATTGTTTAGTGTGTCCAAAATATAAATTAATTTATATAAAAACAAAAATATTCAATATTTTAAAAATTAATATAATGAAAAATTAATTTTTATTTTAATAGATTAATATTAAAATAATATATTAATTTTTGAGATTACATTGGTCAAAGATGTTAATACATCAATATCTTATCAGGCCTTATCCCTCACTCTTAGGCCGGATTAAGTTATACATCGTTTTGATATATTAAGGGATTATGCTGTATAAGCTTATACTATACGATGGTCATACCAAACAACTGAAAATGTCATACGTATAGTATAAGCTTATACTATCATGTCTTATACGTCACACCAAACAGGCCCTGAGGCTCATATGAAACCATGTGAAGAGAAGAGAAAGAAGAAAAAAAAATGAGCTCCACAAACTTATATATATATATATAGGGTTTTATTAATCTCATGTTAAAGGAGATAAGTTATCTTATGTCATAGAGATAAACTTGTGAGCTCCACTACTTGAAAAAAAAAAAGAAAAAAAGAAAAGAAAAATGTAGCACAGTTATCGAAGAGTGTGTAGAAGAAAAATTTATCACATGTAGCATAAGAGTAGTTTTTTTCATATATAAAATAATTTTATTTCTTTCAACATAAAAGACATTAAACCTATTAATTTGTAAAAAAAAAGTAACAAATTATTTTCATATTCGTGTGTAAATATTGTTGTCGTTACCCTAGAAAACTTCATGACACCATGTTTTAACATTGACTTTAACATTGACTTCCCTCAATCTAGCAAAACCTACCCTCAAAAGTCAAAATTACGTAACTTTACTACAACAAAAAGTCAATCTTTTCAGATGGGAATGGGTTCGAGTTTCAGTTAGCTTATGCCTTACGTGACCACGTGTTGCATATTAATGTTAAATTGCTAACCCGGTCAAACAAGATAAAATAAATAAACATTATTTTTTCTTATGGAAATAATAAAGAAAGTTTTAGCCTACGAGAAAGGGAGGTAATAGTGACCAAAACGTTATTTTTTGATAAATTTTTTATCTATATGTCATGCAAAATTGATGATAGCGAATTACGTTTATCAATGATTTCGTGACACGTGATATATTTTTGTTGAAAAAAATTGATGTGTCATAATTCGCTACCAGAGATAGCAAAATTGATCTGTAATATGACCACATGTCATGAAATCATTGGTCACAAAATTCGCTACCAATGATAGTAATTTATGAATGTGGCAGTCTGATAAAAAGTACTATTCGCGTAACATTTGCATAAAAAATTAACAAAAAGTAACACTTTGGCAAGTGAGAATAGCACAAAGAAGGAGTTAAGAAATATATATAATTTTTTTTTCCCGACAAAGTTTGAAGTAGAAATGCAGTTCTTGTCTAATAAATAAATCAAACCAATTATTTATGCGATTTACCCTTTTATATAAATCTGACAATTACATAATATACATATTGAGATTACCCCAGTGGCCGGCTATATCACATTTAATAGTTTTGAGATTTTTTTAATATTCATGTTTATACTAATACAACTATATAAATTAAACACTTTTTGTGGTATCTTATCATAATAAAAAACTTAAAATAATGATAATCAAGTAACTACCACTAATTCAATAGATACAAATCTTTTATAATATTTTTTAGGTGAACATCTTTCATAGTATTATATTTCTCATAATTATTGGATGACTTCATATTGTAACATATTAATTGTCTTCCATTTTAAGATCAGGTATAAAACCATTTCTAAGTACCAAATACGTGTGTGTTAAGTCTTACTATTAGAATGTATATATAAAAAAAAAGTCTTACTATTAGAGATTATAATATTCAGAAATCGTTTCACCCTTTTTACTGGCCGAAACATTTTAATTTTATATATAAGGAGTATGTTATATTTATAATTTTTTTTTTTTTACAAACTCTTACAAACTACACTATGTAGGACCGGTCCTACATTAATCATACAGTGTACGACCGGTCCTACATTAGTGTAATTGCAAAAAAAATTTGTAAACAGATCTTGTCCCTATATATAATGATTGCAATTCAAATCATAAAACATCATTTATTTTTATTTTTTTGGTTTATATGTTACCAACCATGCCAAGTTGCCAACTATCACCACCATCACCTATTTTGCTGGATACCCGTGGTTTGAACTTTGAAGGAATCAAATCTAAAATACAAATGCCAATCCATGGAAGTTGTGGTGCCACATTACATAACTTTTTTTTTTTTTATGGTTAAAGACTACATTACATAATTTGATTCCACACGAAAGTTCAAAAAAACAAAAAATATTAGCCACCCAAAATAAATTATTAAAAAAATAATTTTGTACAATTTATTTTTTCTTAAATAAGAATACTACTTTCCTAGATTTTTGCAAGATATATTAGTTGTGTTGTGCGGTTTGTCTCTTTTTCTCTCAAATTATATTTTTTTAAAAGGAAAAAAAATTAAAGTTTATTAAAAATAACTATATTCGAGGGGCCCTTGTAATAATTTGGAATATGGTAATTATTAATTAGTATTTATAATAATTAAATTATTTTTGATTATTATTAAGAAGAATCAACACTCATTGAGACGGAGACCCCTTCTTCACTCTCTCTTTCTCTCTCTCTCTCTCTCTCTCTCTATCTCTTCTTCTGTACGCGATCTCTTTCACTGACTTTCAATTTCGAATATTTTCACCTAAAATCACTATAAAATCCTTCTCCATTTGTCGCATTTTGGTTTTTTGTGGGTCTTTTGGGGCTCTCTCGCGGAGCTCCGAACGGTTCAGGAAATATTTGAGCTGAAAATTATACAGTAGGTTCAGTTCAGATTCATGGAGTTTATTAATTGAAGTAAGTCTCTGACTTTTTAACATTTTGATTTACCCTTTTGCCTGATTTCACTGGATGATCAACAAGTTAGTTAATTCAGCTGTTTCATTTGCTCAATCATGTGTAATTGGATCTGTGTTTTCAGGTGGTTGTTTTTTAACAATTGTGTGGTAGTTTGTCTTGGGGTTCTGAGAACCTTGCTGGAGTTAGAGAGAGTGAATTTGAAAGTTTGAATTTTTACTCCAATCCTTTTCTGGGTACGAGGGAATCTGGGTATTGAAACGCCAGCAAAAAAGTAATCAATATATGTAGATTAGTTCAGGTTGAGAGCCGGGTACAAATTTTTTATGGTCAAAATAAATCCACTTAGTTTCATCCTTTATTCTTTTTACACTTTTGGTTAGACTCAGGAGTTAGGATGTATAAGTTTTGCTTTAGATTAGAGTTGTAAAATAAGGAAATTTGTGATAAAAAGCAGTGAATGCTCCTGTCTTTGAAGTTATTCAAGTTTGGGAATTTTATAATCTACATACTCGTCATGTGTAAGCATTAAATATCATGTTGCGTTGATTCATATACATAAAGAAGGTTAGAGGTTAATGTTTAAGTGTCACCATATGAAGTATATACTTAATTAAGATTTGAGCTTGGAAACTGTGGGTACCAAGTATTAGCTTATGCAGTTTGTTTAATTTAGAATGCTTAGTTAATCCTTTGTCATGTCAGATCAGGTGTACGGTGTTTCTCGTACCACACTGGTTGAGATGTGCTTTACTGGTTGTGGTGTAAACTAGAATCCTTGAATTGTTAGCTGCTTCTACTATAACAACTTTCTGCAGTTTATGACTTTGGACAGTTTTGTGATAGACTTACTGATTAAGAATTGAGATATATGCATATATCGAAGAATTTGGATACTGTATATACATTTATGACAAAAAAAGGCATATTTATCTTTTATTGATTGGGAAGTACACGTTTTTTCTCTGCTGCAGGTATTTTGTAATAATTTTCGATAACTGATTTCTGTTTCTCACTCCAAAGTTACTGCTTTTGGAATTTGTCATTCTCCTATTTTTTAAGGTTTATGGCTGGATCATGGAATTCATAACTCTGGCCACTGATGTGAAATGATAAATTTTTCAATCTATTATTGGGATCCTTTTAACAAAATTGCTTGCCACTTCATAAATACATAAAATACAAAATATGCCTTCATGGTGGGGAAAATCGTCATCAAAAGAAACCAAGAAGAAAGCAAGTAAGGAAAGTTTTATCGATACATTGCACCGAAAATTTAGAATTCCATCTGAAGGTAAAGTAAGCATTAGATCTGGAGGAACTCGTAGACATTGCAATGACACAATTTCAGAGAAGGGGGATTGTTCTCCTGCTGAATCAAGATCTCCATCACCTTCCAAAGTGGCAAGGTGCCAAAGTTTTGCTGAAAGGCCTCATGCTCAGCCACTTCCACTTCCTGGTCTGCACCCTTCAAATGTAGGCCGAGTAGATTCTGAAATTAGTATATCATCAAAATCGAGACTGGAAAAGGGCTCCAAGCCATCATTGTTTCTTCCGCTTCCAAAACCTGGATGCATACGTAGTAGGCCTAACCCTGCAGAGTTGGATGGAGATATGGTCACTGCTTCAGGCTTTAGTGATTGCTCAGCTGATAGTGATGAGCCGGCAGACTCACATAATCGTAGTCCTCTGGCAACTGACTCTGAGACAGGGACTAGAACTGCTGCTGGTAGTCCTTCCAGGTAGCTTATGCTTCCAGATTGCATATGTTTTTACATATGCATGCCTTTGTTTTATATATATATATATATATATATATATATATATATATATTCATTGTTTTATTTTACTAAAACGTTGCCCTCTTTCTGAAGCTTGATACTCAAGAATCAATCATCTGCTTTTTCCCAACCGAATTCAAGAGAAGTCAAAACACCGGCAAACATTTTAAGTAATCATGTGTCTTCTACTTCACCAAAACGGAGGCCTTTACGCAATCATGTTCCAAATCTGCAGGTTCCTCCCCATGGTGCCTTCTATAGTGCTCCTGACAGTTCCTTGTCAAGTCCATCAAAAAGTCCATTGAGAGCATTTGGCACAGATCAAGTGTTGAACTCTGCTTTTTGGGCTGCAAAACCATATTCAGAGGTCAATTTAGCTGGATCTGGGCACTGCTCTAGTCCAGGTTCTGGTCACAATTCTGGGCATAATTCAATGGGAGGGGACATGTCAGGACAGTTATTTTGGCAACCAAGCAGGGGTAGCCCTGAGTATTCTCCAGTACCTAGTCCCAGAATGACTAGCCCTGGTCCAAGCTCTAGAATTCAGAGTGGAGCTGTCACACCTATTCATCCTAGAGCTGGGGGAACACCCACTGAAACACAGACAGGATGGGTTGATGATGGAAAACAACAGAGTCATCGTTTACCCCTTCCTCCTTTGACAGTTACCAATTCCTCTCCTTTCTCTCATTCTAATTCTGCGGCAACATCTCCGTCTATGCCAAGAAGTCCAGCTAGAGCAGATAATCCAACGAGTTCTGGCTCACGTTGGAAAAAAGGAAAGCTGCTTGGCAGAGGCACATTTGGACATGTCTATCTTGGCTTCAATAGGTATGTGATTTAGATCAAATGCTCTTAATTTCATTATGATTTTTTTTTTCATTTCTATATATGATGTATCTTAATAAGAATTGTTTGGTTTAAAATGTTTGTCTCTTTTAGTGAAAGTGGTGAAATGTGTGCAATGAAGGAAGTTACACTGCTTTCAGATGATGCCAAGTCTATGGAAAGTGCTAAGCAATTAATGCAGGTAAATTGATTCCTTTTAAATCTAGTTAACTTCACGCAGGTAAATAATTCGTTTTCTTTAAGTGCAAGATTATAGTTTCTAGTTCTATTTAACTTCAAACATAGCTTTGAAAATCTAACTACAAAATTTCTGGCAGGAAGTTCATTTATTAAGCCGTTTACGGCATCCAAATATCGTGCAGTATTATGGTTCTGACACAGTAAGTTCTCTACTTCATTTACTGTTTACAAAACCATGCTGACAAGAAATGTCAGCATTCAGATTCTGATGTTTACGTTAGCCGATGATGATTAATTTTGGAATTCATTCCTGACAGTCTGTTTCTAATGTATCCATGATCTTCTAGTTACAAGAATATTAGTTGCTGGTGGTTTACCTAACAACACAGTAGTAGAAATTTCTCAGCAGTATTCGCCTTTATAGTCTACTTATAGAAGCTTCCGAATCATACCTTGAACAGGTAGATGACAAACTTTACATATACCTCGAGTATGTATCTGGAGGCTCCATACATAAACTTCTTCAAGAATATGGGCAATTTGGTGAACTAGCTATTCGTTCTTATACTCAACAGATTTTGTCAGGGCTTGCTTATTTACATGCTAAAAATACTCTCCACAGGTAAACTAAGTCATCTATTAATGATTTCAAAGTTTCAACTTTTACTGCTGCCACACGATGATTAGTTTTTTAAACTTCTGATATGTCTATCTCTGAAATTGCATTTACTTGCAAAGGGACATCAAAGGAGCAAATATACTGGTAGATCCAAATGGTCGGGTCAAGTTGGTAGACTTTGGCATGGCAAAACATGTAAGTTTAGAGATAATAACTATCCAGTATCCATTATGTCTGCATTTAAGCTAAATGATTTAGATGTGAAAACTAGACTCAAATGCTTAGTAAAGTTATCATCAAATCTTGGTTAAAAAGTCACTAATTCACTAATTCAAGAGAGTTTCTATTTCCAATTTGCTAAGACTGGACAGACTTGCTGCTTCTTGTGTTCTTGTTATATCCAGTTTTTTTCTCCTGCCCCCTCCCCTTTTTTGGTGGATTTTGTATCTTTTGCATTTAAGCTAAATGATTTAGATGTGAAAACTAGACTCAAATGCTTAGTAAAGTTATCATCAAATCTTGGTTAAAAAGTCACTAATTCACTAATTCAAGAGAGTTGCTATTTCCAATTTGCCAAGACTGGACAGACTTGCTGCTTCTTGTGTTCTTGTTATATCCAGTTTTTTCTCCTGCCCCCTCCCCTTTTTGGTGGATTTTGTATCTTCCCCTAGGCCCTAGCTGTACTTTTCTCCTGTCTCTCTAATTTTTTTTATAATAAAAAATCATTAATTAATTGTGATAAAATATTAATGATTCTGGCTTCTTGGTAGTAAGTGGGTAATTAAAAATGTTATATAAGAAGATGCAAATACGGATTTCTTTTTTTTAGAAAAATATTTTCGTAAGTATACCAAGAGAAACCATAAGAAATGATAAAAGGGAGCAGAAAAAAGTGAATTTAATACTAATAAACAAGAAGTTGAATAAACCAGGAAAAATACAGAACTTGAAGTAATGAGTTCCGCAAGAAAGCTAGAACCTCTTCTGAATCTTCTTAGAGGAACTACCAACCTTCTGTGATGGACTGAGGGTGATGGTATGATTTACCATGTAGACCACATTCCATATCGTAAAGGACTTTCTATTAGCTCTGCTCCTACCAGTTAACATGTGAAACTCCAATTGAGACATTGGATTCTTTGGCTGTATTGAATTCTCAATATTTTGTTTTCACGTGTAATTTTCATTTGAGATAGCATATTGTTTATTGGTTTTCTATTTCTTAATGATTTAATTAATCCAAAGCTTGCATGATTTTCCTGTTTTCCCTACTTATACCTTACATAATTTGCAGATTTCAGGGAAATCATGTCCATTATCATTCAAGGGAAGCCCTTATTGGATGGCACCTGAGGTTCTAACATTTTTTTAGATCCGGTTCTTTATTTATTAATTGCTTCTTAATTTGTGACTTAGTATCTTTGCTTTCTGATTATTCAGGTTATAAAGAACTCTAACGGATGCAACCTTGCTGTGGATATATGGAGTCTTGGATGTACAGTTTTAGAAATGGCTACAACTGAGCCTCCTTGGTATCAGTATGAAGGGGTTAGTAATTTATGTCAATGTATCAGAGCTTTTGTTTATTTCATTTATCCTTTTTTTTGACATATGTTGTAACTTGTAAGTATTTTATATTTACAAAGTACTGGTGATATTTCTTGTATTATAAACATGACACTAATATAAAGTAGTTCTTATTGTTTGATGTATTTACATGTTACCATAACAGGTTGCTGCCATGTTCAAGATTGGTAATAGCAAGGAACTACCACAAATCCCAGATCACCTCTCAAACGAGGGAAAAGATTTTGTTAGGAAATGTCTACAACGTAATCCACATGATCGCCCTTCAGCCAGTGAATTATTGGACCATCCTTTTGTAAAATGTGCTGCACCTTTGGAAAGACCCATATTTCCTGAAGCTTCGGACCCTGTTTCTGAGATTACACATGGAGTAAAAGCTCTGGTACATAAGCTATTTCCAACATAAATCATTTAAAACTCATTTTTATTTGTGTGCTATTTCCATGTTACCATTGGAGGGTAGCTTGTTTGTCTTTCAGTGCATGCCGTGCGGCCTTTGTATCGAATTGTCCGACTGCCTTATTCGTCTGCACATAGTAGAACAAAATAGGAACCATCTGCTATAAACCACTCCTCATTAAATCCCTGCTAGCGAGGGTAGGGGTGAGGGCAACCTTGTACGCAGCTTTATCTTTGCATATTTGCAAAGAGGTTGTTTCCCTATATTCAAACCTTTCAGTCACAAAGGAGCAGCTTTACCACTGCTCCAGTTTTGCTGCTATGCTTCATAAAAACATTTCGTATGGAAATTTTGTTCTTCATGCTTTCACATTCCTCGTGATTGATTAATGTTCTTGGCTTGTATATTGCATAATTCATGCTCTTGGCAATACACACTTGTATAATTTTTTAATCCATCAGAGTCCAGAATATTGGGGTATTTCAATGATCTTTGCATGTCTGTTGCTATAGAAATTGTTCTTGCATATGAGGCAGCGTGAATGGTGCAGAAGGGAAAGGCGGGGACAGTAGCTTTAGACATTATTTGGGTGGAGGGGGGATAGTGGGATAACAGTTGGAACAGAATGAAGTTCTGGGGTTTAGAAATTGGATTCCCTTTCCATTAGATCTGGCTGGAATTTTATGTTGGTATAAAGTACACACATGGAGTTCAGTTGGGGTGGGGGAAGCTGAGGGACTGTTGTAATCTTAAGAAATGTGGTAATGATTATTTTAGCAGTTACGTAAATTTTGTTTGGTATCTACAACTCCATGCAAGGAGGCTCCACAGTGTATCTGGGTTAGGTCTCTATAGGAGCTAGCTTCCAAATGTGAGATCCTAGCAAAATTTTCTTGCCTAAAGGGTTCTTTGTAGTTGTCTTTCCTGTGATTTCTCCTTTTGCACCCTCCTGTTATAATAATTTTATGCAACTTTGATCAATTTTCAGGGCATTGGACAAGGAAGGAATCTTTCTAACTTGGATTCAGATAGACTTTCTGTTCATTCTTCTAGGGTTTTGAAAACTAATCCTCACGAAAGGTCTCTCTCTCTCTTTTTTTCACACACACCCACACACACACACACATGCACACACAAACATGCACACAAGGTTGCTGACATTGCCAACGGTAATCTGAAATTATGCCATTAATCTCCAGTGAAATGCATATTCCAAGGAATATATCTTGCCCTGTATCTCCCATTGGAAGCCCACTTTTGAGGTCAATATCTCCACAGCACATGAATGGGAGACTGTCTCCTTCTCCAATATCTAGCCCTCGGACTGCTTCTGGTGCATCCACGCCTCTCACTGGTGGCAGTGGTGCCATTCCATTTAGTAATCACTTTAAACAGTCAGTTTACTTTCAAGAGGGTCTTGGAAACATGCCATGGTCCTCAAATGGTGTGTACATTAATGGCCCTGCTCATCATGACTCAAATGGCATTGACATTTTTCGAGGTATGCAAATGGGGTCTCACATTACATCAGAACTGGCTTCCAGTGAAAATGATGTTCTGGGTAAGCAGTTTGCAAGGCATCCTCATGCAGAGTCATATGATTTTCAGTCAGTCTTGGCTGATCGTGTCGGCCGGCAGCTTCTGGGGGATCATGTTAAGATTAACCCAACCCTTGATCTAAGTCCAAAATCATCTTTGCTCAGCCGGGCAAATGGTTTATGACCTCAGGGATTTTTCCTGGGCCATTTATCTGAGCATTACTTGAAGTTTCTCAGAATACCTTGGGTTTTGTTCTATTTACAAGGATATAGTTATACAAAATGGAGGCAAAGCACTAGAGAATCAATGTAAATAAAATTGCACGGGGCACAAAAGTGCATTTCAATGGCTTCAGGCTCAGGCTTGTGGAGTTCAATCCTTACATGAAACTTTCTGACGTCTGATTTGTCCATATAAAGTTATCAACTCACGCAAATGCTCACTTGTTGGCCAATAGGAACTTCTTCTTGTATGTAACTTATTTTAAGATGCTGCATCAACGCATGAGAAGCCAGGAGCTTAGATTTCTCTCCTGCCCTTAAGATACTTGAAATGAGAGTGTTCATGCAATAACAAATGCATCTTTTGGAACACCATATAGATGCCAAAAAAGAAGAAGTTAAATTGATACAAATATTGTTGACTATTTTTTGGGAGGTCAGACATTGTTGTACAGAAGATGGGAAACTGTATTGTTATTGTGCATTTATTAATGGGAAAGTCAAGGATTTATAAAAGAGTTCATGCATCTCATGTTTAATTGTGGGGCTCAGTTGTATTACTGTCATTATGTACTACTACCACTACCACTACCGGATCTGTTCTGTACATTATTATTATTCACAGTAAAATCGAAGAAATTTGATCTTCTTGTGATGAGAAAAACTAGGTGCTTTGGAAGCAATAAAAATCTCTTGCTCATAACCACAACCATTGAATATATATATATATATATATATATATATATATATATATATATATATATATGGAGGTCACCACTCTTAACATTTTGATTACATTTTTAATATTATAATTGAGGTAATATTTAATTAATGGTATTGAGCAAGATAAGAGATTCTCTCACGTAGCGATAGGTAGTTGGGAATTGTGACTGTCTGTTGTTGCCATCTGGTCTGCGGAGAAATTTTTTAGCAGCAAATTAGGATTCTTACTTTTCACATAATAAAATAAAATTATATGCAGGGAGATGGATATAAAATATTAAATAAGCAAGAACTTGCCAAAATTTATGAGATAATACGTAAAATTTTTGTATTCACTTTTTCGTTCAGATGATCTTATCGTGGTAAATTAAGGTAAAAGATTGGCTTTAAATGATTTTTTTTCCAAAATTTTCTATGATCTAAGTACAACATAATGACATACTTCATGTAAATAAGTCACTATATATCAATATCATGCCAATTATCCCTCTCCCATTCAATTGAAGTAGTTGTTTTTTTTTTCTTAAAAAAATTGCTTTGAAGCTCCCGTTAAACATAAGAATTAGGGAATGCTTAGACTCAATATCTAGGTTTATCTTACGTATGCAAAAGATATATTACATAAATGTGACATCACGACGTTTTATCAAACTTAAAACTTGAAAATAAAAAAAAATAAAAAAAAGTTTGTCTACACCTTTTACACCATAATTCTTGTTCAGAAGTTTAAGAAAAGATAGTATCTCTATCTCACATAAAAACATAAGGGCAAAGCTATTAATTATGGGTTTATTGTTTTTTATATTGTATAAGATAATCTCTTATATATACATAAAAGTAAGTGAAGTCTATATTTTTTTCTCTGTCTTTCTTCTTCTTATATGGACTCACATGAATTTCACATATTTTTATGTGTGTGTAGAAAATAAAATTTATTTTCTATAACATGAAAGATTAATCTCATTATTTATACAGGGTATTCTTTTAATTAAAATCAAGTAAATAATAATTAATGATAATCACGATGAAATGGAAGTGTAAGATATAAAAAATGATAATCACGATGAAATGAAAGTGTAAGATATAAAAAAATATTTTATGTCGTTTATGAGGATAAACAGTGGCTCCAAGTGTAAAGGGTAAACATATAGTATTATTATAAATTTTATTTTATATTATTATTTGATTATAGAATAATTTGTTAATAGTTGTTATCGGATAAGTTAAACTCATTCGGTTAGGTTAGGTTATTACAACGTGAAATTTGTCATATGATAGCATTTGGAAAGGAAATTAGAATGTATTAAAATGGTTTGATATTTGACAGTGTCATTTGGGAATCGTCATCCTGATCGTGTTGGCGTTAGGGTTTGCACTTGCTCACACTCACACTCACCATCATTGTTTTTATATATACTCTGTTTCTGTTATTTTCGTAAGAACTTGAGATGATTTTATTTTTGTCTTTCCTTGTTTGTTATACTTTGCATTCTTGATTTTTGTTGTTTTTTTCCAAACAGTGAAAGTTCATAATGGCACCTAAGAGGAAGAATCCATCTCGCAGTACTAGAGGTACAACAAGTATATTTTCTTGCTTTAATGTTTTTCAGTTACTTCATGTTTCCTTTTTACTATGATTCTTTATAATATGTCATGATTAATATATATATATAAGAACACATTAATGTGATCATTTTTACTTCCCTGTATGTATGTATAACAGCTGGTGGCATCCTGAAAGCCACGAAAAGTGAGGCAATCGAACCGTCAAGCAGTGGTATAACTTGTAACAATAATTCTTCATTCTTTTGTAGACACTAAAGATTTTTCAAAGAAGGGACAGACTTATTTTAAAAATTATACATAATAAAAAGGGTAAATTCCGGTTCACAAGACTATCCGACTTACAAGGAATGAGGTGGGGATTGATTGTGGGGAACCTTGTCCTTACAATTTTTGCAAAGGGCCGTTTCCCAAACTCGAACCTATGACATTTTGATTATAAGGAGCAACCTTATATGGTATTTAAGGGGGGGGGGGGGGGATTTCCGTTCTTGGGCACACATAAGTTTAAATGCGAGATCTCCTTCAAATTATTCAACCCCAGCATTTTTAGGCTCGGCCAAATCCTAGTGGCTTGATATGTAATATTCAATTAGCTGTCAGGGCTTCCAGCACTCAACAAGTAAAGAGGGCTCTGAACCAAAGCTCCCTTTCTATGCTGAACAAGTTATATTACTTTTGTACTCGTAGACCAAAGGCATATGAGGAATTGAGGTACGAAGTTGGCATACCGTTAGTATTTTAATGTTGTATTTGTTGTCTTACTGATGTTGAAAATCATATGTTCGTATACCAACCAGTGTCTTGGTTAGTATGTTTGGCCTTTACTTAAACCGCAAGGATAGCTCCACATTGAGACCAAAAGGATGGATTAGCAATACGGTCAGTATTAAAAACGTAGAAGGCTTAATTACCTATTAACTTATTAGTATATTCATCATCTAACTGTGAAGAAGTACATATTAAATGTTCAGGTAATTTTAGTTGCCGGAAAGATAATGATGGAAGAGGAGAAGGCAACAGATGGGGTTGTTACTCGTCATATGTTTAGCCCGCATTTTATGGTGAGTAGTTGACTATGTATGTTTATAAACGTAAGAATTGTTGTAGGACCATGCTATCAACATTTGTTCTGGTGCTGTTGTTTTTCTATATTATGTTTAAACAGCATAACTTTCTCATCTCAGTCAATTGATTTTTCTATGTAGAATAAAGTAATATGCGACTCAAATCTGTCTAATGAAGATAGCTACAAGCCTTGGTGTATTGAGGATGTATCTCTATTTGTCTTACCGAGTAAATTGGGTTATGATATTAATCAGTGCAAATTGGTAAGGATGGTGTCACCTAATATGCCTTGCATAAAACATAAACATAAACCACTCCCCATTAAACCCGACTAGCAAGTGTGAGGTAGAGGAAATCCTTATACGCAGTCTTACCCTTGCATAATAACAAAGAGGCTGTTTCCTGGATTCGAACCCATGACCTTTCAGTCATGAAGGAACAGTTTTACCACTGCTCCGGTTCGCCCCCTTACCTAATATGCCTTATATATGAAAATTATAGTTGTTTGTAACAACATATGGATTTGGTGGGATATAATGTCATTCGGGTATAATGATTTGTTCCCTTTTTTCTCTCTCTTTCAGATTTTTGCACCGACTTTGTTTGAGGAGCATTGGTCTTGTTATGCTTTTGAGCCCGAGAACAAAACCCTGTATGTATTAGATTCAATGCCCGATAAAGTCTCAATCAGCAAGAAGAACTTGGATGATGCAACGGTATAGTTGAACATTACTGTTAGAGAATAATATAAACCATTAAAAAGACCCTCTCCTAACAACTTAAGCTTTTTGGTTGAATTAGTTCTTTACATGGTATCAGAGCCTCGATGTCCTGTGTTCAATCCTCGCCGCCCCCTATTTTGTTTGTGAAATTTCTTAGCACAGGTAGGCTGAGCCTAATGCATCATCCACCTTTCAAGCCCAATGAGCTTTCTTATGAGGGGACGTGTTAGAAAATAATATAAACCATTAAAAAGGCCCTCACCTAACACTTAAGCTTTTGGGTTGAATTAGTTCTTTACAATTATTTTTTTTAAGGAAATGTTTATATTGTTCTTGTCAAAGTTTTATCCATAATTTTTCTGTCTAATCCAACCAATCAATGGTTTTTAATGCGAAGAAACTTCGTTTTGAGGAGCTGCTGGTATTAAAGAATCCTAGTTTGACCCAAGAGAATGCATCAATAACACTTCTTCATGTTGATGTTCCTATGCAGCCAAACAAGTGAGTAGTGTGTGTAGCTCCAATGTCCTTCTATGTAGAAAAACTAATCTCATTATTCGTGAAAATGATATATTGTTTCTCATTTATGCTTTAAATGGTTGATGAAGTCATGATTGTGGCATCTATGTGCTGAAATACATGGAAACTTGGGATGGATCAATAAAATGGGAAGACAAAACCATGCCAGATTATTCCTACGTGAGTAATTAGTCTTGTCCTTTACTAAGCTACCATGTCAAAGTTGGCCTTACTTTAAAAGATTTTACAGAAAGAAATCGTGAAGTTTCGGCAAAGCCTTATATGTGGATGGGTGCAACATCCTAAAAATGAGGTTAGAGAAGAGATATTGAAGGAGGCAGGAGTGTGGGGAAAATTATGATGACTACATCGACTATCAAGTTGACAAATCTATTAGGGATCTTGGTTAAATTTTTTTATTACAATATAGTTTTAGTCCTTACACGTGACACTTTTTTTTAATATTGTTCTTATACGAAAGAAGTTTTGAATTTAGTCTCAATAGGTATAATCTTTTTCAACTTTGTTCTTACCATTGGTTGTTATTATAACACTCTGAGATTGGTATAGAGACCAATTGTTACTATGAGATACTACGAAATTATTGTCATATAGAAAGACCGATTGTGTTGTAGCTCCAATTGACTGTGTTCTCTGAGGCTATCATTTAGATTTTTTTTTTTTTGTCATTTATTCTCGGGCATTAAAATTCATTAGATTTAAATTTTAATCACTGTACTGGTCTTGCATGTTGATCATTCCAATGATTCTGATTCTGTATTTGTCAGCCAAAAATGTCTTACTGAGCTCTTTCGCCCGAATCAAAAAATATATTGAACGATTTGAAATATAATTTTTAGCTAACTGCTGCTAAATAACAATAACAAACGATGAGGATTAAACTAAGGGAAAAATAATTGTGCAAATAATGATTAAACTGAAACTATTTTAGTATAAAAATCAAATTAAAAATGACTGACATTATAAACGAAAAATGTATTTAAACCTAAAGGGACGTTTGGTTGACGAGAAATTTTTCGAATACTAGGAAAATAGAATTGATAGGAAAATGATAAGAAAGTTAGATAAAGTGAAATAGATAAGAAAATGTTAAAAAAAGTTGTTTGGTGGGAAAAAACTTTACTGGATGTTTTGCTTCATTTTCCTAGCTATCTTTGAAAAATCACATACAAATTGACTTTCCTAACAGTAGATTTTCCTAGCTATCTACCACAAAATACTGAAATCTATGCAAATCACTTAGATGGGAAAATTGAAGGAAATCGTGAACCAAACATGGCTGTTTTGCTTTTCCACTTTCACTTGCATAGACATCCTCAAGAATACTCCTAACCAAACACCACCTAAGATCCTCTTTGGTATGTGTCTCGATTGTATCTGTGGATGACAATCAAATTGGAATAATCCAATTGAACTATCAAATAAACAACCGGCCGGTGTTTCATCTTGATTGGCTTGACTCAATTTATTAGTTATATACAGTATTTATTATATTTCTTAAAGTTATAGTAAGCAATTATAAAAACTTGGCCCTCGTTCAAATTGTATGAAATACATAAGATGATAGATTTTGATATCTGTTTGCAAAAAAGCATAAAAGTAATTTCATTCTAAATCACGTTCAGAAGATCGTGATGAAGCATGGAATACATTCTTTAAAAAAGTGAGAATGAAATTCCATGTTTACGTATCCCTTCGATATAAAGCAGAGAATGACTTAAACATTGGATTTTAATGTTTTTTTAAAAAATATTTCTTAAAATAGAGCCAAATTTGACCTCCTCCTAAAAAATTCAGATACAGGAAATTATGAAGATAACTCCGTAGCCATAATAAAACTACATCAGCCAAACATGTTTTTTACTTTTTTAAATTTAAAAATATGAAAATAAAAATATTATAAATAAAAGCAGAAAATATTTCTACAAACCAAGTAGACTCACATCACCGGGATAAATTCTGTACACAGTAAAGGGTTGGACCATTAAATGGCAAACTTGAAGTTCATGTCTAAGCAATGTAGGAAACGGGATCGATGTTAAAAATATAATTTGACAATCAAATTCATTTACTATGTCTATGTATGCCAACTCCATTGACAAATAAATAACGCTTGGGATATTCTACTTGATCAAATTCATGCTAAAATCCCAGAGTTTCTTAGCCAAATCAGCGTCACTCCCCTGTGAGGTTGTCATGGCCACATTACTGTCTGAAAAATACTTGCCACTAATTCCCTTCACTTGAGGGTGCAATGCTACATAGCATGTTGTCGCTGCTCCCTACATTAAGGTTGAAAAAGGGCAAACATGCAACATTAGAAGTATCCCATATCAAGCATGAGCAATGTTTGAATACTTTTCTAGGTTAAATAACGAGGAGTTAACGGTATGCTAATGAGTACTATACCTGGGTGAATTGTCAATTTTGCTACTAATTTTGTAATAAATGTTTTAAGTGTATTAAATATAACTAATAACCAATAAATGTTTGTCAACTCAATGAAACATCAGTATTCATGAAATAAAGATTGGTACTAGAATAATGCCCTAAATACCATAATGTCTCAGACATTTGTAATCATTGGTCATATTGATTTAACTTTACCTGCTGGACATTTTTAAGCACAAGTCTCCCAATCACATTAACTAGACCTGCATAAATGAAACAGAAAAATAACCATAAAACTCAGCTACTGTCATTATCTGCGTCAAAATAAAATAAAACACGTTTTATGGACATGAGTTGATGCAGCAATTATGTGCTATAAATTGCAAAAGCCTTTGTTAAAGTGATCATGGGAAAAGAATGCTTAAAAGATTGATGCTGTTCTTCAGCACGTCTGTATTCAATATTCAGAAGAGCCAACCTATTCACAATAGGTGTTGGTTTTTGAACAATATTCATGTACCAAATATAGGATGTAAAACCTAAAGCAATGTCGATGAATGGGAGCTTATTGCATTGTAAAATTCACTAAAAGACAGTTAAAATGAAATAAACAAGAAAAATATCCTCCACATAATGGTAGATAATGCAGAATACATCATTTAGTATACCAAATCCCATGACTTACATAATTCCTAGACAGAACACGAATTCACATGACTAGTATATAATGCTGTAGTTACCGTTCATTGCATTGTTATGACGGAAAAGATTGGTGGCAATCATTCCAGGATGAAGAGAATTTGCAGTAATATCCACCCCATCTTCCTGATCAAGATGCAACAATATTACATACATCAAAGAAAGCTAATGTGGCAAAAACAAAGCGCCATACTAAGAGCATCTATTTCTTATTAATCAGCCAAAATTAAGATAAATAAGAGATAATGTTGCTAACTTATAATGTCCTTCAATGGCCAGCTAGAATGATGCAATATGGTATAGAAAAGAAGAAGAAGAAAAAACTATCATTTAACTATTTCACCAGATAACATGAAAATTACACTACTGTACAAAAGAAATCAGCATACCTTGAGACGTCTTGTTAGTTCATTGGCATGTAAAATATTAGCAAGCTTTGACTGCCCATACGCACGCCAGTTGTTGTAACTGTACACAAGGAAGCAAATATAATTAAATATGCATAACACTTGTCAACAGATAACGTTTCAATGCTTAATTCTTCATGTGAGCCAATTGTTTTAACTGTGAGCAAGGAAGCAAACATAATTAAATCTTCACAACACTTCTCCTTTCCAAAGTACTACAATAATCATGTCTAAATTCTTAATTCTTTATGCAACAAAGATGTACAGAAGTATATGTTTACAACTATATCTATGTGCACCAAAATCCTATCAGTAGGTTTTTTTGTATCGCTTTAATCTGGCATCTTGTCTTAGACTTACAGCAAATCTGATTACCAAAAACATATATCATAATTACAAACTTTATTGAAGATTTTTTTTTTTATAAGGAAACAAATATTAGAGCTGATTTCCTATGATGATAAAATAAAAGTCTCCAGTATAATTCCTCTCTCTCTCAATAAACTCCTCTTCCGTTAAAAAAAGAAAAAAGAAAACTGAGAGCATATCTTGTCCTGTTTCAAATTTAGGTGACATATTACCTTGATTGGTCATTAATTTTGTCGAAACGAATTCCTTCAGGATATGAAAATCGGTGAGCCTCTGAGGAGACAATAACAATTCTTCCTTGTTTCTTACTTTCAAGTGTTGTTTTCTTCATAGTATCCAACAAAAGATTTGTCAAGAGAAAATGACCTGTGGAATTATATTAAATAAAAATAGAAGGATTAAAATCACTACCACATCTTCAGTCTATACATTTAAAGAAACAGTAAAATCATTACTTGATACCTTATATAAAATATCACCCCATTATATAGGTTGAAACAGGTCATAAGTGAAGTTATACATAGATTTCATGTTTCAATGATCTATAACCACTTCCCCAAGAAATGTGACTATCAGTCATCGAATGAATTTTCAAACGGAAAAACAATCAATCGATTGGACCTTAGCATAAAAGGGTAACATTTCCCACGTACCTAAGTGATTTGTGGCAAACTGCATTTCAATGTTGTCTTTGGACAGCTTGAAAGGGCATGCCATAATTCCTGCATTGTTTCTTTCAATTACAAACAAACAAACCAGAAAACATTACTACTCCTGTGTTTTCTAGAATGATAAGGATAAGAGAGCTCAATTGGAACATAGAAAAACATTATACGGGACAACGATTAAATAACAACTTAACTAAAAGCCAAGTGGTAAAATAAATAGTGAAAATAAAATTGAAAATGTGACCCATGTCATCTCGTTTTCTTACATCAAGATGTTCAATGGAAGACCAGAGGACTTAAACTCCGATGCAAATTTCTTGACAGACTCCGTTGAACTGAGATCTAACTCCATGGCATCAACTTTAGCAGAGGGAATCTCCTTAAGTATTGTTTCTCTGACATCTTTAGCAGCAATCATATTCCTCACTCCCATAACCACATGGACACCACGCAAAGCAAGAACACGTGTAGTCTCAGTTCCAATACCACTAGATGCTCCTGTTACCACAATGTCCACATAACACATTAAAACAATGGCAAATTCCAAGAATTATTTATCATAGCCAGTTTCAAGAATCCAAGGTATCATGCTTATAAAATCAAGCAGAATATACCCCCCAACAAAAAAAAAAAAAAAAAAAAAAACATAAATTCTGATTCAAACTTCAATATTTTGAGGATTACCCATTTGAACAAAGAAATGAAACGTTTTCCAATTTGTTCAGTCTATTATTGAACTGGATAAGAGAAGAAAATTTACATTAACATACACGATCAAAACGATGATTTTTTAAGCTAATAAGCATGATCAACCTCTCCTTGGCTAAACTTTCATAGGACAAAAAAATTGAATTTTTTTTAATGGAAAGATACCCATGTGGCAATTATTTAAGAAAAAAGAGAGACAAGAATAAAAGAAGGTAATAGGAAGGACCTGTGACAATGGCAGTGAGGCCAGTCCCATCGACCCCATGAGTAACTTGTTCCGCTGTTGAAGATGATGAAAACCCTGAAGGCCCTTTTTTGCTGAATGGCCACATATTCTTAATTGCTCTCTCTCACTCTCACTGCAAGTGCAAGCTAGGAATCAAGTGGCTGAAACCTAAAAACAAGACAAAGCATTCTGATTTATAAACAACCTTTTACGGCAAAGGTTGGAACTTGGAATTATGTAGAAGCTCACAATATTTATTTTTTATTTATTTGAAAAATAATTCTCATTCCTTTATCTTCTTTGTTGACGTAGTTGTATTGTATGCTAATCCATCGTCTTTTAGAAAATATTATACACCCCTACGGTTTCTCAAAAGCACTTTTTTAAAACATAAAAATAAAAACAAATACTTGGAAATATTCTTAAGCGTATTTATATGTAATCTTTATTAAAAAAGTGTAGTTATTAATTATTTTAAAATTTAATGATCCTTGCTTTTTAAATAAATAGAAGAATAAGTGACTTATAGTATTAATAATTTTTAATAGAAATAATAAGTGTGTATCAAAATAGAGAAAAATATTTCTCTTTTTAAATGATATAACTTATGTCATTTCACTCTTACAAAGAGGTGAGACTCATACCTTTACTTTTTGTTATCCAGTCTCTCTCCTTTTATTTATCTCTTTCTCTCACTTAAAATAACATAATTTTACATCGTTTAAGATGACACATACTTTTTCCATTAAAATGAGTGTAGACATTTTTATTGTTATAATAAAGAGATTTGCATTTGTCATTTAACATGAAACAACAAAATTCTCTACACACACAATATTTTGTGGGACCCACACTTTTTGAAGAAAAAAGAAAAAAAGAAAATTACGGTACGCAAAACGAATCTCTATAACATTACACATTCACTTTTTTTCGAACGTATCTCTTATAAAACTCTATAATAAAACTTTTTTTTTAAAAAAGAATAATAATACCACCAAGTAAATGGAAGTTGTTCTAACTTATGGAGTGATTTGAAGTTCGATTCTTGTGTAAAAACTTGATACATAAAGCTTTACTGTCCTTATGATTCCATCGATCTCAAATCCGAATTAGTCAACACAATTAACAACATCATATTACTGAAATTCTGATGTAACGGTATTAAATGTATGAAAAAAGATAGGTATAGTATTTCTATTCCAAAATAAAATGATAATAATAACAACATATGCCATAAAGGAGAGTATATATATATATCTCTACGGCCAAATACAATTACTAAGTAATTAAACATCATCCAACAACTAGCATGGAATTATGGTTCAAGACCTTATACAACAAAATAAAATTACATACATACTCTATGAAAACATAAATAATCCTCCTTGATCTCAGTCCTTCAGTTTGTGGAAAGAGTAATACAACTTAAAAACTTTTGGAAGATAAACAGGCAACAGGAACCCAAATAAATTGAAACACCAGAAGGCCATATTAGCAACTGCAAGTGCTCTTCCAACATAGATCCTCCTCTCAGAACCACTGTGCTCTTCATTGATCTTGTAAATCTCACTCCTAAGCCAATCCACAATAGTGAAAATCCTCCTTGAATTATAAAACACAGGCACAAAAGCTCTTATTGGAGTTGAGAACCTGTCTGAGAATGCCACTCCTTCCATAAAAACTTGGCTGGCCAAAAGAAAAACATGGGGTGCAGCTGCTTTAATCCCTTCTTTATCACCCTCAAATATTCCCTCTAAGATATAGGCTATGGGGGCATAAAGTCCAATGATGGCCCCTATGAACACATAAAGGCGAAGGAGCTTGTTTTGAGGGTTGAAAACTAGTTGTTCTCTTGATGGGTGAAGAGATGGGAAAGCCACCTTTGATATGAAGTACATGTAAATTATGGAGAAGACCACAAAAGCAAAGTCTTCAGGGCTAACCATGCCACTGGCTGATAAGACAATCACCACTGCAAGGCAATTGAGCTGGCGGAAAGAGAGGAAACCAGCTTTGCGTTTTGTGGTGATGGGTTTGTTGAGATTATTCTTGAGTGATTGGTGATCTTGCTCTTCTTTGTGCTCAACTTCTTGTTCTTTTGGTAGGCTAATATCATAGCCAGTTGGACCAATCCCACCTGACATTTTGTGCAGCTACTGAGAAAGATTCTTGAATTGAAGAAGAACTATTGAACTATTGTGTTGAGCCAATTTGCTTTTCTCAAGCTATATGAGCGAAATGGGACTCACAAGAGAGTGTGATTAGAATGATGTGGTGGAAGTAAATTGTAAATAAGGAAAGCTTTTTACTAGAGAAACTTGATCAGGGTTCCTTTTGGGTTGGTGGGTAATCAAAGATGGTGGTAAAGAAAGAGGTGAGGAACTTTGGGAGTGAAAATGTGAAACTGGTACGAGAATTAAGGGCAGAAGCAGGAAGATAAGGTTAGATGTTGCGGTTGAAATGGAGGACAAATGGCAGGTTGATATGAGTTTTTTAAGCTAAGGTTCATGGCGTGCGTGGCATGTATATATGTTTATGGTTACGACACGTGTCTTTTATTAATTGTGGATGTTATAAGTTTTGGTGGTTGGTTTCAAGCCTTAAGATTCGGTGTCGCAAACTTAAACTATAACTACGGAAGTGATTTATTGTCAACCATGTGATGCGACCAGTCACGGAAAATCACGAGTTTAGATTCAGAGGCCTCGAAGCCAACATTGACGTTTGTTTTGTTGTGTCTAGAAAGGATAAAGCGTAGCCTTATTATGTATGCCCATTTTTGTGTGCCTATACGAAAACGAGGTTTGAGACAATTACCAAATTAGAACAAGGATTGACCAGATAAAGTTGAAATTCACATTTGTATTGTAACTACGAAAAACATTCCTTATCTATTCGTCTACATTTAGTTTTAGCTTAATAATAAATTTTCAACTCAAGGATCATGGACATCAATAAACTGGAGATTGAGAAAAGGAAGGTCAAAGTTGCATAACTTAAAGTACAAGATTTTGAATTATAACATGAAAACTGTTTATATTGTAAATAAATTATTTACGAATGATATAATTTTGGAACCTAAATTTCAATGGCTTATAAATTAGTGAATGCATTTTATTTTTTCAACTTCAATAACTATAATTACTCTCGGGAAAAAAAGAGAGAAAATTCTATTGTAATTTTATTGAGACAAACATGTAATTTACTGGTAGTTCATTTGTTTTCCTTCTAGAGTCATATAATCATGCATCCCCCTCATCTGTAACAGGCTGCTCATGATGGTGGATGATGACCTTTGCATTTCCTATTCTTGTTAGTTGTTTGTTTGTTTTATTATTCTTTCCTCGTCAAAACAAAAATAAAAGGTTCTTAAAGAAAATTGAGAAGGCAATGAATCCATATGTGAATGATATTGTTCACCTTCTCTTGCCTGACAGTTGCTTTCTATCCTTAAGTTAAAATATTGTCTTATTGTGTCAATTCCCAAAAAATATTGGCCAGGAGGCCCAGGACTATTCATTAAGAAAAAAGAAAAACCGATGATACACATTGGATCTACTTTTTGTCTTATTTTTCATGTCTTATAATTTCTTCTCTCATTTTTTATTTTATTTTTATGTATTTGCTCATCTTCTCTTATCATAGAAAGGGTTCTTCTTCCTCGTATATGTATTTTATCTCGTGATGATAACAGCACGCTAAAAACTATTAAATAAAAGTTGTACCACTTTTTTTTTCTCGGTACATGATTCACTTGTTGAGGCATTCTTGTTCCTAATCCTGCCTTAAACTAGCTGCATGCTTTCGTATAAGAGAAATTTTTTTGTGTTTGGAAATCATGATATCCAGTAATATACAAAGAAATTCAATTTATCGGGAATGATATAAAAAAGTTATTTGATAGACATAAATATTACTGGGAATATTTAATAATTTTACTGAGTATATGTTTGGTTGTGAGTAAAATATTACTGATAATATGTGTTGATTTTACAAAACTAATCTTAACTTTTTAATGACACCAGACCTACTAATTTGATGTGTGTTGAGGGTATTATTGTCTGAAAAATATGTTATCTGCTTTCCCTTCCTAAAAACCGCCTAATTTTCAGTAATCCAAACAGTAATTTTTCTTTGTAAAATGCTTTACCAGTAAAGCTTGGATACCCCGGAATTGATTTTTAATACTTCTACCAAACATTGGAATCGATGTTCACCAAAGAAGTCCTTGATATACCCTTATACCAAACACCACCTGAGAAACACCATATTTTACAGTACTCCACACATTTTTCACACACAAGTTTCTCAGCAAACCACTTGACTCCAATTTAATTTTTTTCTGAACAGCTGAAAATCCATATGATCAGTTCACATGTTGATGCAACTATCAAACGCACCTAATCAAAGACCCTAGCACGCTACGGTAGAAACGCAGTGTGTAGAGGCGGTAGAGCAAGATAGTGGTAGACCCCAACATTGGGGATCTCTGCATTATCTCAGCACTGGGATTACTAAGAAATTTGGACAATTATGCCAAAAGGAGGAGGAGAAAGGGAAAATTCTATGCTAATAAAAATCGATGCCTTTTTGTACCCCTAAAAAAATGCCATTTTATAATAACTAGACAAATTTATTACACAAAACTTTGGTAATAATGCCACATAAAAAAATAAACCTACAGCACAATCCCCTATGACATAATTTGAAGGAAAAGGACGGAATATAAAAAGACTTTCCGGCAAAATCTACCTTCAATTTTCAGACAGAAGACCATCCGTAAAACTGGAACCTCTGCTACGAAATTAATTGGCAAGAAGTCAAACTGTGCATATCTGTCATAATTAAATAAATAATCCAATTTCTTCTTTGTTTCTTCATATTAAGCTGCAGCTTTTTGTTTGGGAATGTACTTTATCTTAATTCCCTTCTCAGGCTTCAATTTGGGTTTGGATTTAGCAACTCCGGAGTTAGCAAGAATGCTACGTCTGTCGGCATTAGACGACTGGCATGTTGCTAGTTCACATTCCTGTACCCGCTGGCATCCAGGAAGTTCAGAATCAGGTGAAACAACCAATTTTACATGGTTTGATGAAATAGCTTCTTTCCATCCTGCATGAGAATTGATTGTAATTAGATAAAGAAATTAAAGACCAAGCCAAGCATTTAATCACACTGCCAATAGAATATAATAGAAGAAACGTGAAAATGTATTACGTTGTAAATCTTACTTTGTGCAAGGAAGGCTTTTGCAGCATGGCTGGATAACCGTAAGCTTTCTGAATCTACCTTAGCCCCAATATCGGAAATATTGTTCCCTGAACCAAAACCACTACCATCTATATTACACATCCTTAAACTACTTTGACCTGACAAATTTTGTTCATCTTTTCCATAAACTGCATCAGCTTCTGTCCCACCACTTTGAAGTGGCAATGGATCTTTAGTTCCATGCTGGCTAATAATCGGCCTCCAAAACTTAACAGTTAACCGACTGTTGCCTCCCTGGAAGGAATCATGTTTCATTGGCTTCTCCTGAGCAGTATTCTGCTTGGCCAGATTCTCTACCATGCAGTCCCCTTGAGATTCCACTAGATTACCCTCAGATTGGCTGCAATTGCCCAGAGTAACAGATACAGATCCTATTAAAACTTCACGATTCTTACGTTTGTCTGGTTCTTCCTGCAGTCTGGCTCTTAAAACCACCCCATCAGTTTCTCGTTTGGGCTTTCGACTCCATACTTTACTACCGTTAACAATAGAAGCTGCCCTTTGATCATGGTTGGTTCCATATTTTTGAATGACTCCAAGCTTTGACATTTGAGAATTCTGGCTTGCATGCAAACCATTGGCTATAGCCCATTGTGATTTTGGCAGCCCTTGCCATCTGGCAGTCATCACGCGCCTACGATTATGTCCTTGTGATGTCTGTTGCTCTACATTCTGATCAGTGTCACAATCATACCCTGACTCTGTATCCCCGCCTACACCTTCATACGTGTCTGGGCAGTGATAAATAACATGTGGTAAAGGAGCATGATCTGCAAATGTATCTCGATTATGTGCTTCAAAATCACATGTATCCAAAGATGTTTCTGCAGGTGACACATCCTCTGTTGTGTTGCTGATGTTCGCTTTAAAGTCGGTGTCATCTTCGATTCGTTCCCTTGCCTTCTGTTCTTTCTGTCTAAGCTTTTTCTGGCGTTTCCTCTCCAAAATCTCGGCTTGTCTATAAATAGAGGGAATAATTAAATAAAAAATCTTATTATTCATACATGAATAGTTTACAAGAGAATACATTTTGACCAATTCTCTAATACCTTTTCGATTTGCTAAACGAACAAGCTAAAGAACAAAGATTATTTTATAACTATCCAAATAATGTAGCATAGTTTATTTATAATAGCATGTCAGAAGTTACTGAAGTCATAAGAAAAAGTTTAGATGAAATTAAAGAAAAAGAAATGGAAGTCATTGCATGTACACCATATGTCAATTTTAAATCATAAAACTAGCGAGCAGGTAAACTCGGTGAAAATTATTGCATTAGGAAGTTCTGTCTGTGCAATTGGACTAGTCAAATTTGCTAAAACCATGCACGAGTTTTGCTGTTTGGTAATAATCCCTATCTTTCTTAGAACCTGATTCTTTTTTTCAATTGGGGATTTCTTTCTTTCATGACACAAGGGCTTATGAAACCAAGTACTGCTAGGTTCTTTCGCTTTTGTTTTCTTAGCTGCATTGGTTCAACGGATTATATGAATCCCCTTATTTCAGTTATTGAAAATAACAAAAAAAAAAGGGGTTCTGTTTGGGCTGCATACTAAATTTCATTCAAATCAAGGTATTATGCCCTGTAAAGGAGGATGGCAAAAATCGAGCACCCAAAACTAAACAAAACAAACTTTATAAAAGACAGAATAGTAAATTCAAGATTAAACTATATATTTTGTATTTATGAAACTCAACCCCATGAACCCTTGAAATATTTGTCATTCCTCAAGAACCTAAAAATTGAAGTGAAAATCAAGAATCACTCAGGGAAGACCAACAAGACCTGATATCAATAATGACACTAGAAAAAGGGAAGGATCCAGAAAAAATTACCGGAACAAGATAAATTCAAGTACAAACTGGTTATAGCACTACATGTACCTTTTCTGAGCAGCTTCCTCCTCCTCCACCAGTAGCTTCTGGCATCTCAATGCTTCAGCATCCTTGTCAGCGATCCATGCCTTTACCTATATGAAAGAAAAATCATATTTCATCATGACTGTAACTCAGACCTAAGTTAGAAAACCACACCTTTTGGGTTAGTTATAATAGAATCAGGTCTTATGTTTGTATATCTACATGCAGGATATGCCATGAACTTTGGTTCCAATTGTAACGCCCGACCGCTTCAAGAATCAATGACTATCCCCACATACACGAGACTTTTCAGTGTGCTTTTTCCTCACTCGCACACTTCTCGAAAAAACTTCTCAGGAGGTCACCCATCCCAGAATTGCTCCAAGTTAAGCACGCTTAACTGTGGAGTTCTTTCGATCCGGGCTACCGAAAAGCAGATGCATCTTGTTAGCATAGGTAGTACCAATTAATTCTTATAAGCTATCCCAAACTGTGCAGTCTTATACCTGCACAGCCTTTGGAATCCCTCTCTTTCGGGTGTCATTCGATTCATTACTTCTTTTTTTCTTCAAAATTCATATCATATAATATGGTATGTGCTGGACTCAAGTGCTCCCAAAAAAGAGAACATACAATAGAATTGCATAGATTTTTAAGCAGCCCTGGGTGCTGAAATATTGTTTCACATTAATTTTCCCTTTCTACTCTTCTCTCTCCCCTTTGTCCGATTATGGAAAATGCTATCTATGTACATGTCTGAATATGTAAACTCTCAAACAGGATAGATGTGTGAACCGATGAGTGTACTACATAACCACTCCTTGAGATACATTTCCATGAAAATTATTTTAAGAGCAGCATAGCAAAACAAGGGTCTAGTGGAAATACTTTCCCTGTGAAAAAGCCAAAGTGAAGAGTGATCAGGATACCTGATCTTATCCCATTAACACCAATAAAAATAGAATGGATCGGAACATCTGGTTGAATAAATGTTTTGTTCATAGCTACCATTAGCTATAAATGAAGAATGCATTTGCACAAATTAAGGTTTTTGTTAAAGATTAAAACTCCTAAAAGCTTAAACTACTTGGTGACGGCTCCATAGTGGCATTATGTCGCTAGCATGCCCCCTTGCACAAGATAATGCCAAGATAAGCTGAATCAAACAACAAATAAACCTAACTTACAGACACCCATAAAATCACATCAGCGCCAACTCCCAAACTTCCCCAAACAAGAGGAAAACCCAGCAAAAACTATAGAATAGCAAACCAAACATCCAACACCACTGGTTAACAATTTAATGATTGTAAAAGAAACACATTTAAGGCACTGTATAAGAAACAACTTTTGACGCCAAATGCTAAAAGCACCAAATGACACAGACATGTTAAGAAGAAGGTTTATAGGTAAACAGAACAGATTCTGAAGTTAGGAAAAACAATTACCAATTTCTGCTCCAGCAAGAAACTTGCGCAAGCAACTAAGTTTTTTGGCTCAAGACCAATCTTTCCAGCCTCTCCATCAAAAACATATCTTTGCATTGACATTGCTGTGCCACACAAAAAAGTTTTTTCACTGGAATCATCAAGGATACTGAACAACTCTTGGGAAGATAAAGGAAAACTAGAAGGCCTAGATTGAACAATATCCTGCACACAATTTAGATATATCGCATTAATAGACCAACAGTATGAATCTAGCAAAAACACAACCAGAACAAATAATTGATAAGCAAGACCACAATGTTTCTTACCAGAAGGGCAGAACCAGCCCTAAGATAATACTGTGGAAGAGAAGAAAATCCTTGTTTTATAACAGTTGTCAGAGCACTTAAAATTGAAGACCCTGGAACTTCCTGCAAAGCATTTTCAATGGGGAAAAACAAGAATACAAGATACTTAAATTAATTAGGAAAGAAAAAAGGAAAAGTGGAAACAATAAGAGCTGAAAAGAAGAGAACCCAAAAGAGACCTGCTGGGTCTTTATATTTGCAGCTCTAGCATAGAACACATTGTTGTTTCGATAAACTCTATTTTTTTAATTAAAAAAAGATATATCAAGATTGTTGAATTGCAATACGTATTGAGTATTGTTCTACTATTTTTTTATATTTTAAATCGTGAATCGTGAATCCTATTGACTCGTAAGATTTAGAAATATAATGAAAAATGAAAAGTGTCATTGTTCTTTGTTTGAACGTCTCTGTTTTCTAAGTTTTTCTCTGTAACGTCTGAAACTAAAAGTCTCGGTTTGTGTTTTCCTAAGAATCTTTTAGTTTGAATGTCTCTGAAAATTTTTCTAAGGAAACTTTTCTTGTGCAAGTTTGAAAACTTTTCTAAGAGACTTTCCTTCCGCATGTCTCTGTTTTCTAGATTTGTATTAATTTTTTTTTTTATTTTAACATCTCATTTCATTTCCCCAATCAATAGTGACTTTCCAGATTTGTTTTTGAATTTGAATGGCAAATCATATTTGTTTCCCTAATTAATAGTGACTTTCCAGATTCATTTTATATTTGCATTGCAAATCAAATTGGATTGGTCTTTTCAATTTCCAAATCGAAATCGCCAATCTTGGGTTGAATCATAGTTATCAATTGCTGGTAGCGGCCAACCCTAAAAATGCTATAGCGGTAAAGCGAGTAGTGTTATAGCTGCTACAGTGAAGTTCAAGTATGTGATATAAAATATAAAATATATAATTATTCATATAAAATAATAATATATCAATTATTAATTTTACTTATTCAAAAAAATTAGCAGAGAGAGAAATCAAAACAGATTAATCATATATTCATATCAACATATAAATAATACACATTTGACTATTGGAGAAGGAAACAAATGCAAATGGTCTTTGGGCTTGACTTGCAACAAAATGAATGAGAGACAGATGGAACCTTCCTTCTTCACGGAAACATAGAAAGAAAGGAATCTGCCATAGATCGAAACAGAATCAGTGAGATATCAAGATTGTGCCAGTCAGAGATTATGCTGCTTTAGGCTTGCCAGAAAATAGGTGAGAAAGAGGGATCAAAGTCAGAAAGTGAAAAAGACACATGAAACATAACCACCGTTGCAGATCGAGATTTGAAGTAAATAGATCATAAGGGAGATAGGGTTTAGAAATACAAAAGGATAAAAGTCCAATGTACAATTAAAATTAAATTCTTGGTCAATAATACCCTGAACATAAAAAAATCTCTCTCCATCCCTTGTAGGGTGGAAATTGTGCCACTACACCTGCAAAATGCTACTTCAAATTCCAGCCACTACGACCGCCACTGTAAATTGTAGTGTCGCTTGCGGTTTGTTGCAGCTGAGTGCTGCTACCCACTACTGATGGGGAATAGTGCGCTATAGCATCACTTTTTTCATCTATGGGTTGAATTTTTAATCGCAAATTGCGATACGATTCATGATAATACACTGAATCACACGATTCTTTGATTCATGCTCCTATACATGTTATCGATTCATATCGCTAGGCTTCGTATCGTATCACATGATATGTATCACATACTATGCGATACTAACAACTATATAATTAATATTTAATAATATTTCCAAACAAGGAGAAAGATGGAGAAGAGGTTTTAAAATTCATATTCACATTTGAAAAAGCACCTACAAAACAACCTTTTAACAAATGGAGGAAAGTTTTCTAATCCAAAATGGCAATCAGAAAGAACTCTTAACAATCTAACAAAATACAGCACAAAAATCTGTAGTATGAATGAAAAAGCATATTTTTGAAAGAATTTCAAGTCTTCAAAGCCTTAATATATGGAAAACCAACTAGAGCATGTCTTAATTAACGTGAGAGTGTGAAGAAGTGGATTGAAGAGGCCTTAGGTAACTCCACTACCCCCATATTCAGCTGTACGAATCATAGCATAATATATAGAAATCAAGGTTGTTGAATCGCAATCCATATCGTGTATCGTTTGGCTGTTTTTTAAATCATGAATCGTGAATCTATCAAATTGTAAGATTCAGAAATATAATGAAAAATGAATGTGTCATTGTTCCGTGTTTGAATGCCTCTGTTTTCTAAGTTTTTCTCTGTAATGTCTAAAACTGAAAGTCTCAGTTTGTGTTTTTCCTGAGAATCTCTGTTTTAGTTTGAACGTCTCTGAAAGTTTTTATAAGGAAACTTTTCTTGCGCAAGTTTGAAAACTTTTCTAAGAGAGACTGTTTTCTTGCGCAAGTCTCTGTTTTCTAGATTTGTATTAATTTTTTTATTTATTTTAGTGAAGAGATTTGTATTAATTTGAATCTTCGTTTCCTAATCAACGTCTCATTTCCCTAATCAATAATGACCTTCCAGATTAGTTTTTAATTTGAATCACAAATCATATTTCTGTTTCCCTAATTAATAGTGACTTTCCAGATTCGTTTTTGAATTTTCATTGCAAATCAAATTGGATAGGATTGTCTTTTCAATTTCCAAATCTAAAATCACAAATCCTAGGTTAAATTTCAATTCGCAAATTGCCATACGATTCATGATACGACACTAAATCGCATGATTCTTCAATTCATGCCCTGATAGATGACCAATTCCGATACATGTTGTCAATTCGTATTGCTCAGCCTTCATATCATATTGCATATCATGTGATACTAACAACTATGATTGAAATATCACCAGTACACGTGCAAGGCAATTCACATTCAAATAAACTTCATATAGAAATAAACTAGTCGTGCAAGAAGTAAAAAGGTTTTACCTCCAGCATCACATTCTTGAATGACACAATTTCCTTTGCCTCTTCTACAGAGAGCTACACAAATTATGAAAAATCAGCACATTAAAAGTTAAAACATGATGTATTCTTCATATAAGTAAAATTCACAATGATGAAAGATTACCTTATCCCAATATGCCCCTAAAAGATCCCTATTTTTTTTAGAATCCTACAATGTGAAAGCAGTATTAGGCAAAACTGAGGAAGACTTGGAAAAGAAACAAACAAGAAAATACACATGGGACAAAAGTATCAACAAAAATCGACAATGTCGTAGATAATTGCTTCTACTTATAAGATACAAACTATAAAGATAACCTTATCAAGCTTTTTCAACCGATGTTGTACACGTATATGTCTTCTATAATTAATGGGAGAACAAAACTCTCGAGAACACTTGTCGCACTTCTGTAACTGAACCTTCACAGAAGAAAGCAAAGGCCACCCTGGAAGTTCTGTCAAACAAATGAAAGATTATATCAGAATATCTGGGTTTAGCATTAGAAGCAACAGTCACAAGCCCAATAGCTAATTGTGATAAATTTTATTCAAGGCCAGCAAAGGCAACAGTAGTCTAGCGATTTTAAATTGCTGGTTTTTTTTTCTTTTTATTTAATTTTAGTAAACTGTTTAAGGCAGGCTACACGTACTCACATGGCTAACACATTCCTTAACCCAATAAAGGTTATATTCATACAAATTGATTCACCTAAATGCTTTTGAAATTAACTCTCAAAATATACTCTCTAAAATAATTGATACCTTGCTGATCCAAAGCATGAAGTAATTGAATCCACTGTACTGGGCTGTCACCGGCCCTAGGGAAGGAAAGGAAAGGTTCTTTTCCAATAGCTTGTTTGATTATGGTATCTAAAGAATCATTTCTGTCTTCTGTTTTCATGAAATCGGGGGTGCCAGAGGCCGTGAGTTTTGCAACTGGCATCTATTCAGACAAAAGCTTACCAAGAAACTTTACAAGATTCCGCTGCACAAAGTATAAAATAAAACATGAAAACAAGGAAATAAATTTAAAATCACAGGATAGAAAAAGAAGATGGAAGTTACATATTGAACAAATTGAATTTCAACGGAACTAATAAAAAATTGTCAAAAATATTTTGAACACTGAATCTATTAACATATTAAGTCGGCGAAAAAAATAAGAACATATCGAAACACAACAAGAGCACAATGGATCGATGAAGAAACTACACTTTAACCTTGTTTGGTCACTTCATTACCAAAGAAAAGGAAATGGAAATGGAAAGAGTCGAAGTCCAGATTCTTGCATTCTCTATTGATCGGAACTCAATAACCATAACTTATAAATTAAATTACGATTCACTTAACCAAACACAATTATCGACCATAGTAAACAAGATCTTTCAAAACCACAATAATAATAATATTAATATTAATAATTCTAACTCACACGTTCAAGCTCCTCTTTCATCCTCAACTATCCAAGGTAAATTTAATTTTCACACAAATATAATAGAACACAATTTCGAAGAACGTGATCTACGGTGATCGAGTTAGAAAAAGTTTAGAGTGATAGCAGATCACGTACCAGGGAGGAAGGACGAGAAAGAGATCGCTCGGAGGCCGGAGAGATTCTCTGACGATCCAAATAGAAATCGCAACCAGCTGTTAAGGGATTGAGAGAGTGTTTGGGTCGAAGAAAAATGGTCAAGAAAACGCGAGAAAGAAGAGAACCCTCTGTTGTTCGTGCAGGCTGGTGAGGTAGTACCGTAGTAGGGCTAAAAAAACGTTTCTAACAAGAAACAACTTCAAAAGCATAAAAAGAACGGAAATAGTTTTTTCGAACTGTAGAGATAATTATCTCATGTTAGTGAGATATAAAAAGACGTGCTTGCAATTTTTTTTCTTTTTTATTTTTCTTTAACTTGTGGGCTCCACATTTCTTGTTAGTATAGGAAAAAAAACTTCTCTCATGTTAAATGAGAGAAGTATTACCCTAAAAAGAAATATTAATAATATAAAAAGGGAAGGATATACATATTACATATATATACTTAATAAAAACTATTAAATTTATTTTTATGTAACCTTTATGGGGTTTATTAATCTTATGTTACATGAGAGTACTATCTCATGTGGGTGATACAAATATGTGGGGTCCACAATTTAAAATGAAAAGAAAAAATTGGCACAAAATTCTATGAGTGTATAACATGAGATAGGTATCTTATGTTGCATGAGAATATCATTTCCCAACCTTTATATAGGGTGAAGATTTCCGGGCACGCGCTCGTGTTGCGCGTGAAGGTACTTGGTGTTGAATTTTGGTTTGGTCCACAGTCACAACAACTTTAATTTCAAAGAGCGAGGGGGCACGTGCTTGTTTGAGAAACTGCACGTGGTTTTCAGGTAAACACCACCAGCATCGTTTCAGTATATTTCATGACGGGGAATTAAACGGCAACAAGATAGACCAATGTTGGCCTCGACCTTATTGCCTCTCATTCCGACGTTGACATAATAATCAAAATAGTTTATATAAAAATAAATAAATAAATAATAATAATCACAATAGTTCATCTTGTCTTGTGCTCAAAGTCAAGTCATGGAGAAAATGAATTAACGTGATATAGGCAAAGTGCAAGTAATAATTTTTCTTAGTACCTTTTTTTTGGTGAATTTTTTTCTTAGTACTCTATAAATTACATTCTATTGATAATTAATGATTATTTTCTTGAAAAACTGTCACTTATAAAACTTTTGATAGATTTCGCAATTAAATTAATGTAATGGAATCATCAAAGGTTTGACATTTTCAACTTTGTAACTCGCAAAAACTCTAAAAACAAAGAAAAAATGTGTACAAATAATATATCCAACAACAAGAAGAAAAAAAATTGAATAGAGAAATTCAATGGTATCACACGTATCATATTAATGATAAATGATTATTTCGGTGAAAAATTTCTTTGAACCTAAAATAATTATATAAGCACGATGTATGACCCGTGCATAATATTATAATATATCATGTCATAGCTACATTCACTTTTTATCCCCACGGAAAAAAATCATAAATTTTTTACATGATATTCATAACCATAAAATTAGATTTTCAAAACCTTATTGCATTAATTTCATGATTAAATTGTATTTATGCTTAATTTAAAATCATCAATTTAATGTTCATACCTAAAAGGTGTGTTTGGAATGCTTCAAGTGATATGAAATGACAAAAATAAGTGAAGAATAGAAAGAATATAAATAGATCAAGAAAATAATTAAATAAAATGAGTTTAGAAATACAATTATTATATTTTATTAGCTAAAAAAATAAATATCATCATGTCACATGCAATTTTATCAAACCCGACTCGAACTAGCCAGTTTGACTCATAACTCAGAAAAAGGTAATATAACCAGTTCAAGTCAAGCTATAGATCGATCATATAATGGAACAGGTGGAAACTGATTCGACTCGACCAATTCACCAAAAAAAAATGGCGGCTCATGCATTTTTTAAAATATAAAAATAAAAACAAAACCACACTATTTTGTTTGCAAAACTTAAAAAATCATAAAATATTTCTTCCCCTCCTTACAAGTGAGCAGTACTTCCTCCGAAATCATTTCTCCCTTCCTTACACTCACGTTGTTGTTGCTGGTCTCGTCGGTTGTTGTTGCCGGTCTAATCATTGTTTCCATTGGGTGTCATCGCTTGATACTTCTAGTTAGTGCCTATTTAGAAACTCTTATTTTTAACTTCTTTTTTCTTTATAAGCAGGAACTTAGTCAGATATAATTTTATAAAAGCTTTTATCATAAAAAGAGCTTTTTTATAACAAAGAAAAAACCTAACAACTAAAAGCTCCTTTTTTAAGATGTATGTCAGTTTTTTTTTTAATTCTCATATTTTTTTTCAATTATACCCTTATTCTAAACTTTTATTTATGTTTTTTTTTTTCATTTACCCTTATATTTTACCCTAATAACAAATCATTTTATATCTCTTCTTTCAAAATCCTAAGAACAACTTTATATCATTATCAAATAGCTTTTAGCTTTATTTTTTAAGTTCTATTTTTTTAACTTTAACTTAAAAGTAACTTTTAACTTAAAAAATACTTTACCAAACAGGCTCTTAGTTGCTGCAGAGTATTGCTTACTTGAGATTGAATTAGACGGCAAAAGCACCACAGTGCTAATATATAGCAAAAATTTCTCTTGTTCAAAGCACATGTGGAAAGTTTTTCCAGACTAGAGTAGTCAGTCTTGTCACCTGTCTTGCTGCGTTCAGTTTCGTCAATATTGTTGACACGACTTATTTCCACGTCAGCAATCCGGACCAATCATGGCATTTTTTGGTTGAGTCGTGTCACAATTGTTGACGGCACTAGTCCCCTGATGCCACGTAATCGCGTCACATTATGTGACAGCACCACAACGTCCACGCCACGTCAGACGCGTCAATTATATTGACGGCACTCATCCTTTAATCCCACACCACCCCCTCCTCCCTTTGCATTTCCGTTTCTTGGCTCATTCTCTCTAAAAATTTTCCCCTCTCTCTCTAAATTTCCTCTTCCTTCTCTGTAAAATTCCCTCCCTTTCTCTCTAAAAAATATGCCTCTCTTCTTCTCATCCATGCAGCGGCCCAGGTACGCCCATAGTTAGTAGTTTTTTTTTGTTTGTCTTTTAAATTTTGTTATTTAATGTAGTTATTAGTTATTACATTATTTGATAGGAATAAAAATCCTATTGTAGAATGTAATAAAAATCCTAGGTTAAAGTTTCTTTTAATAAATTCCTAGTGTACAATGTATTTTTAATTAAATAGTAATTATGTCGAAAGATAGAAATTATATTATATAAAGTAATAATTAAATTAGTAAATAGTAAAACTTGTAGTTAATATATAATTAATGTTTTGATTAAATGTTAGATATAAATTAGGGTACCTTAGTATAAAAAGTACATAGTTAGGTAATTAATTAGTAATGCAATAGTTAAATAATAATTTTAATAAGTGTTTTAAGTAAATAAAAATTGAATTAAAGAAAGCCTATGAGAGAAAATATATTAAGAAAATAATGAAGTAGTAGTAATTAAATAATAATATGACAATTATAATTAGTATATAATTATTATTTTAATTAAATATTATCCCTAGGATAGAAAACCATTTACTAAAAAAATTAATTAGTAATAAAATTATTACTTAGTAATTATAATTAGTGTTTAGGCTAAATAATGAATATAATTTATGATTTTTTTTTTTTGGTAAACTGAATTATGAAACTTTGAATTAGTATAGAAATGATTAAACATTAATTATAATTTAGGCCCTGTGATAGAAAATAATGAAGTAGTAATTAAATAATAATGTGACAATTGTAATTAGCATATAATTATTATTTTAATTAAATATTAACCCTAGGATAGAAAACCATTTACTAAAAAATTAATTAGTAATGAAATAATTACTTAGTAATTATAATTAGTGTTTAGGCTAAATAATGAATATAATTTATAAAAGTGTTTTTTTTGGTAAACTGGATTATGAAATAAGGAATTAGTATAGAAATGATTAGATATTAATTTTTTATGTGCATTATAATGTTAACTAAAGAAAGGCTACGATCATCCACCAAAAAAATAAATAAAGAAAGGCTACGATAGAAAGATGTTTAAAAAAATAATTAGTTTATTCATTACTGTTTTAATTATTGTTTTAATATTAATTAACAATTCATTTATTGTATTTTTTTATTTTAACTATTCATTTATTTGTATTATTTTATTAGTTACATGGCTGATCAGCACCCCCGCATTGACCCTGGTCCCAAAGAGTGGGGCGTACTCGATCACGTTGTGCAGCAGTCACACAGATTCCAAGTGAACGAGGGAGATTTGAAGTTCCTGAGAGTGAGGCGAGCCTCAGAGGGTAGGGGAAACAGAGATGCACACAACCTAAATGACATCCTTCTGGATTTACCAGCACCTGATGCGTGCAAGTTTTTTGCACGCAGCTCGCATGAGGCGATTACCGATATGTTTTACATTCCCTTTAATTGTAGTCATTTATTTTGTAATAATACCGATAAAATAGGAATCATATATTTAACTTAATAATACATTTTTTTGGAAGATTGACCATCGACTTATTATTGCATTGGTTGAGAGGTGGAGGCCGAAGACTCACACCTTCCACATGCCTGTTGGAGAGATGACTATTACTTTACAGGATGTAGATGCCATTCTGGGTTTGGCCACTGAGGGCCAAGTAGTTACTGGCTATACGCATGGCAACTGGCAGGATGTAATCCAGCAGTACATGGGATTGATGCCACGGGAAGATGATTTGGAGGGCGGGAATCTTAGATGAGTTGGTTGACCGGACATTGGGCTCATTGGGTTAAGCACTCAACTACTCCAGAGGGGCAGATTATTTACACTCGTGCTTATCTTATGCGTCTATTCGGAGAATTTTTGATTTGTGACAAATCCAGTTCAATAGTCCCTTGTCGATTAATACAATTATTGGGAGGGGACTTTGAGGATTGTCGTACTTACAACTGGGGGTTTGCTGTACACGTCACACTGTTTCGCGAGTTATGTCATGCGACGTCATCTTCGGCCAAACATATTGGCGGTTGTACTTTGTTATTACAGAAATGGGCATGAGTAAGATTTTCTATGATAGCACCTCTCATTCCACAGCCGATTGATCCAACTGATCATTACGGACGCAGGTGGGGA